CTTCTGTATGTGTGCAAGCATGTGGGATACATGACTTCTTAGGTAGATGATTCCTTTTAAGGGTGTGTTGACTAGAAAATGCAAATGAAGTGGCATCAGAAGATTAATATTCCTCTCTTTACTCACCGATGTCAATGTATTTTGAGTCCAGTGGAGTCCCAATGGAGTTGCATAGAATCAGGACATACTGAAAAACATACAAAGTGCAACATTATTCTACAGTTCAGATTTATGATTCTTTATCAAGACAGAATAGTCCTCATTTTGAGTGTGTGGTTTCATTTGTACATTACCCTTGCATGACTCCCAGACTCTAACTCAGCATCCTCCTGTGTGGCAATGAATTAGAGAACGGGAGGCAAAACAGCAGAGAAACATGTGTGATCCTTACTGTTACAGCTGACTCTATATCTTCTGCTGCATATACTGTATCTTTCCCAATCTAAGAGTTAGCATAGATCTGTCAAAAGCCATGGACATGCTTGCCTGTGAGTCATACAGAATGTGACTAGTGTATCAAATCAACCTGCAATGCTTTATACATCAAGACCTGTTTTATTTTGCTTTCCTCTCACTGTTTCCATGTTAGGACAAATAATCTGGAGGTGTTTGTACCTGAGGGTGGGTGTCATCTGCCTTGCTGGCTAGGATGCAGAAGTCCCCTGAGGTAGTGATAGACATCAAGCTCTTCACATATTTGACAAACTTCTCGTTGTTTTTGGTGTCCCAGAACACCACACAGTAGTCCTGTCGCTCTGGCTTCGTGTAGGCGTACACCACTGTGCTGCAACAGTAGCCCCACTGTTGAGAGACATAAAGGAGCTGGTGAGATTCATCTGTTGAGTAGGGTTTTCAGTTATTATAGTTTTGCATTTTTCATTAGTTTGTATTTTTATTTTGTTAATTTTTTTGTTTAAGTTACTTTCCAGAGAGGGCTTGCTCGTTTCAGTTTAGTTTAGTTCAGTTCAGTTTAGGCTTTATTTAAAAAGGGAATACACCATGTGGTACGAACCCTTAGATGCTTATAAATGAAACACCAAGAAAATCCTTTAAAATCATTTAAAAAAAAACATTTACTTAATCTGTTTTCATGAACTCTGACCTGATGAATACTTTGAGTTTGGCTAGCGTTTTAAGCATATTCATGCCAGATTCAAATATAGGTCTACGAGTGTCTTCAAGAATCGTTTCTTTCCCAAAAACTTTAATTAAAAGCAAGCCACGTGTTGGTATTTACCTTGTAGTCTGGTCTTATGTTGGCAAAGTAGATGTAGGAGTCCACAGCCAGGCCAATACGCAGGCCTCCTCCCTCCCAGGCAACACCCGTCATCTGCTTCCCAGGAACTTTTAGAGTTCTCAGATGCTGTTGAAACAACAAAAAGCATTTGAAGTGCAAAGTTTAAACTTGTTCCTGCCGCATAGCATTTTTATTTCCCCACTGGGGATAGTAGCGGGTATGAGTGTGCAAGGAAGGATTTTTAAATCAATTTCAGTAACTCAAGAACTATTTTGCCAGGTGCAGAGAATTCTCCCAACCTAGTGGCATTTTTAACCGCCTCACAATGTAGGACAGCACGACAACAGATACAATCTTCATGTATAAAACTCTGTGTAAGTAAGGAAAGCCAATCTTCACCCTCACCTCTCCAAAGGGTGTGTAGAACTGCACAACATTGAATTCTTTTTCCATATTCGAGGCTCTGAGAGAACCCGCCACCGCCAGAACACTGCCGCAATGATTCCACTGGATACTGACCACATTCATCAGGGTGTCAATACACACTGGGTCTACAGAACAGGACAGCAGCATAGCTCATCAGCATTTCACTGAAGTGTAACTCGGAGAATATACTTATAGTTTTTTAAGATCTTTTCCCCTTACTTTCATCGTTCTCGTAGCGCATGATCTGGCACCTTCCATTGTCAAAACAGATAGCAAGGCATGGACAGTCTGGTTCGACGTAACCACCAGTTCCTGCGTACCAGTGGATACCTGCTATACTGACAGCTCCAGTCGCATTGGTGAGACAGCTGATGGTCATTTTCATCTGAAACGTAACACAGATGATAAAACATATGCTAATTTGTAATCAGTAAATGCGAGCATGTGATAGGATCTAATGTGCATGAAAGATGCATTCTTAAAAAGAGCATCCTAGGAGTCAGGAAGCCATGTAGTGTGAATATGGACTGACATTTCTGTATAAACGTATGCACTCACTATAAAGTTTCCTTGGTTGTCATAGATTTGCACTTCGCCGTTGGCCATGCCAAAGAGGAGGATCTTGCTGTCTGGCGACCATGCCACGTGAGCAAGCTGATTTCCCTTTAGCTCCTTTCCCCAAATCCGGTTTCCTACAAAAAAAAAAAAAAAGGAATTTATCCCACTGTACATTCATACTCATTCCCTCAGTATGTGAACAAAGAAATCCTTGTCAAGAGAGCCTTGGTGATTTTATGCTAAATCTCGTTGCAAAACATGTTATGACTGATAACCATTTAATTTTTAGTAACTACACTATAAATCTTTTTTTTTTTTTACCATCAACAGATCCAACAATGACTGCTCCATCTTCATACACTATGCAGATCTTCTGACCATCAGCATTCCAACTCATGCTCCTCACCACCGACTTGTTCCGGTTGTTGATCATCTCCTCGTACCAGGCACCTTCGAAAGGGGCAAAAACAAACAACTATAACAGCCAAATCTATTACAAGGCAACTTGTATTGTTAGTCTTATGGCAGTAATCACCTTTGTAGAGCATCCATACAATGATGAGTCCATTCTGGTCACTGGTTGTCAGCTTTTCATACTGTTCATTCCACGTGACCACTTGCACTGCGCCTGCAAGTGTAGTATCAGGAAGTGTTAGATCATTTTCTTATGGCTCGCTCCACATCCTTGCACCACCAGACTATGTCATCATTTTGTGGACAGTATACATATAGCAGGTTTGGCAACTACTAAATACAACTTACCACTGTGCCCCTCTAGAGTCTGGTTCATTGACAGATTACTGGGTGCAGCAAGACCTTTAAGTTTGGCATCATCTGTTGACAAACCAGTAAAAGAGATCAGGTTCAGAACCTCAACAATGTTCAAGCAATTCTCAGTGAGATGTTAAAAATATTTTAAATGGACAACACTCAACACATAACACTGGTTCTGTCCGACAGACAGAGCGGACAAGGTGGTACCATTTCTACTTACAGTGACTGAACACTGCGGCACCAGAACAGAGCCAAAAAGCTTATAAAAGTTTGAGAAGATTTCTTACACGATGTAAGAGGCATCGTTTCAAAAATCCTCAAATCTCAATCACATGGGTATTACATAATGGCTTTGACTGTAACAGATAAACATACAAAGCTGAATGTATGCAACATTATTATATTATTATTATTCATCCCCCCCCTAAAAAAAATGTTTTATACCCTGTAAAAAAAAAAAAAAAACAGGAATAACAAAATAAACATATAAAAAATATTTAAATGTGAACAAGAACACACAATGTCTCTGACGCAGAACACCAGGTGCAGACAATATCAGTGTACAGGTACACAACTTTTTTTCATAACAAATGTTACACTGCATTGATGTATCATTATCATGATAATCATTACTATTATGTAGTAATATTATGTAAGTGTTATTATTATCAAGGCCCACCAATTTTAGAAACAAGACAGGTACTCTGACCAGTGACATGCTAGTAGTCCAGTCATTTCAGGTGGATACTGCCAGGAAGGTCAAACAACTCTTGTATATGTTTAATATTTTGTCATTTTAATGCAAAAAGCTGTCCAAGGCCTCTCAGGCTGGTTGCTATAAATAACCTGAAAATCACGATGCAGGCCGTTAGCTCCATCCAATGAACTTACCCGTCTGAGTTTCAAGCTTGAGTACTCTGAGAAGACCATCGTCGCCTCCACAGGCAATGAAGCCTTGGTCTTTGTTCCAGGAGACACATTTTAGGTGGATATTGTTGGGGATAGCGATCTATAAAACACGGGAAATTGAAGCCACACTGTTTATATCTTAACTGACTTATTGACAGGTGGTCAGCTGGGTGGCAGAGCACAAGAGGGTGTCAGACACTCACCTTCTTGCTGAGGTAGATGAACATGGTGCTGGAGACAACTTACAGACCTCTGTTAATCTGAAATGAACTGCATACAGCTCAGCTATACTAACAAGCCACTGACCTAACGCCAAATAGCAAACTACACAGCTAAAGTGAGCCACCTTTTTCAGACTAGCTAACGTTAACGTTACATCATGCGGCCCGCATCTGGTGAATGTAACGTTAACGTTAGCCTGTGCCGTTAGCTTTGCTGCCTAACGCGACACAGTTAGCACACACTGTTAACGTTAAATGTAATTTGCCTCATACATTAAACGGTCGACTACAATTAAAGTGAATAACGTTAGCAAGTGTATTGGAAAAACTGCTCAAATTCGACGTTTCGTTGCTTGTTTTGGAAAACTCCTCCAGTACTCAGAGGCTGAGCTTCCCTCGGTCTCCCGTGGTAACCGTAAACCGGAAGAGTCGGGTTAGGGTCTTTGTGGTAATTGTAGTTTTTCTTGTTCGCGCTCTGGTGTCAGGCTTTGCTGAATCGCCCTGTCCTTTTGACCCCCTCACTATAATGGGCAGTTGGTTACTGTAATTTGTTTTTTATTGGGGAGAAAAGACTAAGGCAATAAGCTTTATTGAGCTTTGCATGGTTGTCTTATATATTACTGTGAAAATGTAACAGACATAAATGACCACTATGAAAACACCTAATAAACCAGCACTACAATTAGGCTACATAAAACGCATTACAGATTTTGCTTTCAGTTATGTTGGATGCAAAACAAGAAAAATGGGTGCAGTGAAGGTAGGTTATCATAGTCACTCTCAACAAGGTTTGATTTTGGCCTATTCTGAGATTATATCACTATTCTGAGATTAAGTGGGCTGGTAACTAAGAGTAAAACACACAATACAAGATCTATGATCGATTATTTCAGAATATTTATTATCCATGTCCAACTATATTCCCAACAGAAAATATACAGGAAAAGTCGTTTTCTATCACAAAAGCACCAAAATATGTCATGCATAGTCAGTTTACACCACAAATATTCATTTCACCAGCTTCAGGTGTTTCATGGCAATGACAAAGTAGTAAACACAGAACATGTGTGTATTGTATGAAGAAAATACTGTACATTTAAAATAAAGCAGTGATGTTCAAACCCCTGTATACTTGTGTATCTGTCTTTGATATTAGCTGACAATATTCTTATGTTTCTGTTTTACACTACTGTCAGTTGAATTGAAAATGCTATAAAAATAAAAGTTACTAAAAAAGCATATACTGTACAGTGAAATACTGTTTTAACTGTTTACAAAGTAAAGTGGATTTTAACTCAAAATGCAATGATTTCAAAATTTAGTGCATTGAAAATTGTCTTTAATGGCCCGGACTTTGGTCCAAGACTAGCCAAGTGTGCAAAGAACTGAACTGGCCCAAACAACCATGAACTCCCTAAACAGTTTTCCCTCTAAGCCCAACGCAACTGCACCTGTCTGTTACAAACAAAACAATTATTACCAATCAATGTTGTGCTATAAAGTAGTTGAAATATTTCAGGTATCAAATAAAAGGATTATAGTAATTCACTGTGATATAACACTGCCATGGGCCAATTGGACCAGGCTTTTTTTGGTCTTTTCTCTGTGTAATAGTGATGCAATCAGAAGGGTAACAACAATGCTCTTGTTGTATAAGAGATTAGTTGTTGTGTTATGGTTATGGATGGAGGCTTTGTGTTCTACCTAGAACACAAGAACACTGACCAAGAAATGCTCTCGGCTCACTAAATACACAAGGATGTGGTACACTCCACAAGAAAAACATTCATTGTTTAACGATTTCTCATACATATATTTTTTTAGAAGTTTGTACCATATCTTTTCTGTAAATTATCTTACATAGTTTGAATCTTAACTCAGTGGAGGCAATCTAGTAATACTAAAAAATACAGGTATATGTAAACATTTACACCAGTTATACCTGATTTTAATGTAAGAAGTAATAACAGACAGTGTTGTGAATGCAGAATGCAGGTTTATAATACACAACAGTAATTACAACAGTTTACTGCTTGAGAAATCAGTACCATGCAGATTTCTACCAAATCAGACATTTTTAGGGAGATTTTGATGGTTACAGATGACTTTGTCTGGTCACAAAAATTTGATACACTCAGAGCCCTGAGGTTTTTCCGACATCTCCATCGCTACTGCTGTTGGCCCTCAATCAGGTTAACTTTGTCTGAAAGTTCATCAAGTGAATATACTGTCAAGGAAATACAACTTTAAAAGTGTTAGTGTAGCTGTTATGTTTACCAGCTCATCAGATTTAGACTTACTGTCATTAAACATATAAATAAGACAAAAAGATTATAGCAGCAGGCCAAGCTAGTTAAAAAAGAAGATTTGTTCTTAAATCTTAAGCGCATACTACAGGTAATAACCACAATTTTTAAATCTTATATCAAAAAGGATATGTTTTCTGCTCAGCTCCTGAATGGTTGACTGCACTTTCTTCTGGAACACAATCTGAGCTTCACACATGCAGGCATCTTGAGTGATTTCACTTCTCATTTCCTCTGAAAGGATGAAAAAATATGGAAAGCATGAGTGAGTGATGTTTCACCGTGTTTAGTGTAGCCCCTTTGTAGTACTCATTTGTAATACTTGTACAACATTTGGCTACTTAGTAGAAAGAAACAACACAGAACACAGCCCATCTTATGTTCCTCTTTGTGGAGTAATTGCCAAAATCCTTTAAAAGAATCAATGTCGATGCTGACAGAATCAGATAAAAGTTAGGTGTTGTTTTAAATGAAAACATAAGCATAATTGATATTGATTGAACAATATAGCAGAGATTAGGTACAATCTTGACTTTTCTTTTGTGAGTGAGATTAGATGTTAAAAATAGTTCATCCCTTCAACTAGTTAATCACAACCTAGGAGTGCCTAGTTACAAAAGTCAGGTGTGGACAGATTTTAAGGGGACACATGTTAATAACTGTTTGAGCAATATACTCATATATACATACAATTCACTGAAAAAGATACAATGGTATGGGTCCTTAACATGGACCACAGTTCTCATGGGCTCACACCACAACTCCCATTGCCTTAGCAGTCTCTCATTCCTTTAACCAGCACTGCAGCACAGATTTATGTCTTATAAACTGCGCTGTAAATGTATGGATCAGTAGAAGTAGTGCTTGTCCTTGGACACAGTAGCTTTGGTTGCAGTCCACTGCAGACTTCTCCACAACTAAAGAATGCAAAAAGACAGACGTGAAAAGTATGATAACTATTAAAATAAAAGAAGCACACAAATTCCAATCTAAAATCTATAGAGATAGGCAAAGCCCGATATCAGTGCCATATAGGCTTGACCAAACTCCAACCTGGGGCAGTATACTGAAATTTACATCTGTGAGAATAGACAGTAGGAGCTTTTTCTTCTCGATTGAGGGTGACTCTATTTATAGGTATAGTCTACATTCACAAATTGTCAGCAATTTCTGCAGGCTTACAGGGTAATAGACATGTGGTCATAATTGGGATGACAATCCTTAAACTCTGTTCTGTTTCATACAAGCTGCACCCTTAAGGTGAGTTTGTGGGTCTCCATTGAGATGTTGCAATACCTTAACATGGACACATGATTGCTACATATAGGGTCAGGCTGTAGCCAATGTGCACCTGCTCAAAAATGTGAAAGAAAATAAACATACAATAGAAACTTTAAGGAGCACAGCCAACATGCATCATTTTGGGTCAAAGGGGGCTCTTCTTTTAGTTAATGGCAAACCGTAACACTAAACTGGTCAGGTATAGAGTCAATTGAACTGTGTAAATCATGGCACACTTGAGGGACCTGGCTATCACAATAAGGTGGTCTAGGTATAAAAAGGCTGTGATTATTTGCTACCAAAATTTTGGCAGCCTTCAAAGGAAGATGGACGTTTCTTTTTGACAATTTCTCTACTGGTGGGCTGTCATGTTGTACCAAGCCTGGTACAGCTTGTGGTGAAGCCATGCCTCCACCTATGGCAAAATTTCAGGCATGGTAGTTTAGCCATTTGACCTGGTAATGTATGAGATAAATTCTCTGTGCTTGGTGTTGCCTTTTCAAGCCAGAATATCAACAGAGCATAGTCCATTGTCTGGAATTATCTCCTCAACATGAAAGAAGATCCCTCATTGCTGTAACACCATGCACTTTAGGCTGTCTGGACTGCCTATGTTGTCAGTAATAGCAAGGTGGATGCCAAAGCAGTTGTGTTAGAAAGGGAAGGGAGACGTGATGGTGGCTGTGTTTACAGTCAGATCAGCTCGGTACGACCCTCATAGGAAAATGGCCAAGCCTATAGACTCTTAAGGGCTGGAGATTTGATTGCTTTTAACTACGTGTTTGCATACGCATGATGGCCACCATGCAATGCCTGTATATGGCCATCCATATCCTGAGTCCGTTTGGACCGTTGGTAGTGGATGTCCTCAGGCATGAATGCAACACATGCACAATGCAAACGTGTGGTTAAAAAGCAAATATATCTCTGTCTTCAGAGGCCAAAGCCTGGGTCATATATAACTTGATATAGAGGAAATCTATCTAATCTAAATTAGAACAGATAGCACTTTGAAAACTGGCATCTCACCTCGAATGGTCTTGCTTAGTTTAGGGTGGTTTGAAAATGGCTCTAGGTCCAACCTGTCTTTGATAAAGCCTCTTCAAATATCATAGGGAAAGAGTATTCAAGGAGCCCCTGGCCAGTTGTTGAAATTTGGTGGATCACAGTTCATTTGAAGACTCATGTAAATCATGTCCATGTATGCCACACCTTTCGGTAAATTGGTCCCAGCCTGGCCGAGCTCAACTCAAATTCCTGAGGCTAGAACTCAAAATATGGACAATGTCTTGATATTCACAATACACAGACACCATTATCTATGCTGATAAAAATCCAGATCCTTACGTGAGCATGTTTTCTGGTCTGCATTCAACACATATCCCTCTCGACACTTGCAGGTATATGAGTCACCATTGTTAATACAAATGTGCTGGCAGTCATGTCCCTGAGCACAAGCATCTGAACCTGAAAAGAGACACTTCCACATCTAACTTGGTCTAAGTAATTCAAGGTCAAGGAGCTCTTCCTTGACAATATGTATGTGTCCAGCACAATACAAGTCCCTAAGTAACTCTTACTTGCTGCTTATTTGCTTGCTTACTTGTTGCTTACAGTAAGTCTTTTGAGCTAGTATGGAATGACACAAAACATCTTGCGATACTGAAACAATGTTTACTTGAAAGGAAAAACTTTCTTACGTGAGCATGTTTTATGATCCATGTTCAACACGTATCCTACTCGACACTTGCAGATGTAAGAGTTCCCATTGTTGACACAGATATGCTGGCAGTCATGTCCCTGGGCACATGCATCCGAACCTGAAAAGAAAAACTCACACCTGAGTGACTTAGTTTTATGACATAATCTTTGCCAAGCCTTTGGTCACAGTTCTCTTTAGAAGAAGTGGATGCCTCAACCCTGTGACCAATACATTTAAACATTCCTAATCTCTATATCTCCTGCTTATTCAAGCTGACATCAAAAATGGCAAAAGAAATATGCACAAGAGATGTGGTGTGTCTATGTAGATGAGTCACCATGGTTGATACAAATGTGCTGGCAGTCATGTCCCTAAGCACATGCATCTGAACCTGGAAAGAGACACTCCCGCGTCTAACTGACTTGATCTAAGTATTCCAAAGTCAAGGAACTCTTGCTTATCATTATCTTCATATTTATGGAATCCCTTGCCAAAACATGACATAATGTGTCCAGCACAACACGAATGCTTAAGTAGCTTTTGTTGCCGAGGGGCACAGTCACACATACGCAAAATCACAACACTGGCAAATGTTTGCCTCTCGTTCACTTGAGCAAAGGGGCAAATAAAACCCTTGCTTCCCATGGCAAAGCAGATTTGCATAGAGTTCAACATTGGTGAAATTTAACCAGAGAAGTTGCAGCCTCAACCAATAGCAAATACCTGTGGTTTACCCTTAAAATGGACCAAAAAGCAAACTGATTTTCATGTGCGGCACATCTTGCATTGCCCACATTTCGCAGGTGATGGTCGCTCGCCTGCATTTGCGTATGTGTGACTGGAGCCTGGTCTTTGGAACTACTATGGAATGACACAACACATCTTGAGATACTGCACAAATGTTTACTTGAAAGGAAAAACTTTCTTACGTGAGCATGTTTTGTGATCCATGTTCAACACGTATCCCACTCGACAGTTGCAGATGTAAGAGTTCCCATTATTGACACAAATGTGCTGGCAGTCATGTCCCTGGGCACATGCATCAGAACCTGAACCTGAAAAGAAGAGCTCACACCTCAGTGACTTAGTCTTACAACATCAGAAACTTCAATCACTTTACATTTCGCCGAGCCTTTGGTCCCAGTAGATGCCTCAGCCCTGTGCCCAGCCTTATCATTGTGTGTCAGCTCCTATGGTGCTTTGATGAACATGCTTTGAAGCTCCAAATGTGCTTTGTGGAATATCTGAGATGCTGGATCACACCACAGACACCAATATGCATACTGAAACAAATCAGGTGCTTACGTGAGCATGTTTTCTGGTCTGCATTCAATACATATCCCACAGGACACTTGCAGATATACGAGTCATCACTGTTGACACAAATGTGTTGGCAATCATGCCCCATGGCACATGCATCCGATCCTGAAAAGAAAGACTTCCACATCTGACTTAGCCTAACACCATCGGTCAAGAAGCTCTTAACCCATTGAGAACCCCCGACTGGCCAAATTTCCTTTTACAGTTCATGAATTCTATGGTCATCTGTTCCATTCTTCTCAGAGCATCAGTCTGAGCAGAAGAGACATCATATATTTTAGAGAGATCCAGGTTCTTACGTGAGCAAGTTTTCTTGTCTGCATTCAACACATATCCCATTTGACACTTGCAGACAAATGAGTCATTAGTGCTGACACAAATATGTTGGCAGTCATGTCCCTGGGCACACGTGTCTGAACCTGAGAAAGAAGCACTTCCACAACTTACGGACTCCATTTACATCAACCAAAAAGCAATCAAAGAGCCCTTAGTAAGTAATAGAACCTATGAAGGGTCATTATGTACAAGCACCAAAATAATGCAACCTGAGCCACCAAAAACTTTGAGGATCTTACGTGAGCATGTTTTCTTGTCTGGATTCAAAATATATCCAACTCGACACCTGCAGATGTACGAGTCATCACTGTTTATACAAATGTGCTGGCAATCATGTCCAAGGGCACATGGATCAGAACCTGAAAAGAGACATGTCCATATGTGATTTGTGATTTGTCATGTGATGTCATGACATATTTCAAGCAGGGTTTGGACTGTGGTCCTTTTACAGTTGATGCTATCTCTGATGCTAATATGTTTCACATATTCCGGCTGACACACTTATCCTGGCAGTCATGTCCCTTTGCACAGGTATCCAATTTTGAAAAGAGAGACTCCACAGATAGCTGAATTTTGATTATTTCTCTCAAGAAGCACTTGTTGTTTAATGGGCCACCAATGCCACTATAATATATTTAAATTATGGCAACTATACCTCGAGGTGTACCAGCCCCAGTGTGCCAACCTGCTACCTTTTTTAAAATAAAGTCACTATTGATAATCCTAAACTTTTAAAACCAGCCTACAAAAGCTGATAAGTGTTTCCTCAGCTATTGTAGTCCAAATGGCACTCGGAATACCACAAGATAGTTTTAATCATCCAGAAATTTTTTTTTTTCTTTTCAGTCTCTGTTCACACTAAATTCACAAGTGACTAATCTTCTAATCTACAGGACAACTTATATGAGCTGATATGCATGTGTCGTCAGCACTGTGGTTCACCAGCTCTTGCTGTCCAGATAAATAATTTGGGGATGTTTCTGGAAAACACCAATCCCATATGACCTTCCAATACATTTTTTAATCCTGCAGAGAATGGCTTCTGCAGCATTTAGTCATGTACCTAAAATAATGGATTTGAAGGATCCCTGAGACACAGCACCACAACATGCACAAATGTATAGGTAAAATTCAAGTTCTTACGTGAGCATGTTTTCTGGTCTGCATTCAACACATATCCCTCATCACACATGCAAAGGTAAGAATTTCCATTTTTGACACAAATATGTTGGCAGTCATGTCCCTCGGTACATGCATCTGAACCTGAAAACAGAAACTTCCACAGCTAAAATCCACAGCTAACTTCCTTGGAGAAGCTTATGATTGGCCAAAATTGATTAAAGAAAAACTGCTCTGTGCCTCTTTCTGAATCCAATGATAAGGTCTTACGTGAGCATGTTTTCTGGTCTGAATTCAACACATATCCCACTTGACATTTGCAGATGTATGAGTCATCATAGCTGACACAAATATGTTGGCAATCATGTCCCTGAGCACATGTATCTGAACCTGAAAAGAGATATTCACACTGGTAACTGACTTGTAACTGATGGTATCAATCCTGTTACAGTTAGTCATGCATCAGTCCCAGTCTCCAAACTTCACCTACTAATGATTTAAAACAGCTTACAAGAGCGGATATATATGCATCCACAGCACAGTGCTTCACCAACTGTCTAATTGTCAATACTTCGTTTTTAATGCTTCATAGATTATTCTCTGACATTTATTCAAATGAATCTTCAAGGGAAACCCAAGACACTGCATCCTCAATTATATACTGTAGGTAAAATTCAGGTTCTTACTTGAGCAGGTTTTCAGGTCTGCATTCAACATATATCCCTCACGGCACTTGCAAAGGTATGAATCACCATTTGTAACACAAATATGTTGGCAGTCATGTCCCTGGTCACATGTATCCAAACCTGAAAAGAGACTTCCACAGCTAACACTTACACCATCAGAATAGACCAGCATTAATTGAAAGCTTTATCTGCCAACCATGCACATGCATTTTTAATTTCTTGTTTACTAGTGACACTGCACTAATACATATCATCAAGGTCCAGGTTCTTACGTGAGCACGTTTTGAGGTCTGCATTTAACTTATATCCCACTCGACACTTGCAGAAATACGAGTCATCATTGCCTTCACAAATGTGCTGGCACTCATGTCCAAGGGCACATGGATCAGAACCTGAAAAGAGACATGTCCACATGTAACTTACATCTTATGACATCTGTCAAGGAGAGCCTGGACTGTAAGAGCCACTGTCTGGCCACTGCTGCCCTTACTATTGACGTTAACTGTGGTCACATGCTCCATCGCTTTACTGTCTCAATCAGTCCCTTAGTTATTTAGGCTGAGCTCAACAACTGACTTTGTGATCGTATACGGCATGGTTTCTATTCGATGCTTGCAGATGTATTCACTTGACAAACTATACACTCCAAATCTACTAAAAGGATAAAGTATCACTACGTGAGCTTGTTTTCTGGTCAGCACTCAACACATATAGTACAAATTATCACTTGGAAACCTGAGACATTACACCAAGAGATGGACATGAAATCAATTGGTAAGGGTTCTTACGTGCGCATCTTTTTTGTTTGCATTCAACACATATCCCTCATGACACATACAGAGGTATGGATAGCTGCTTTTGAGACAAAAGCCTAATTTCCACTGCATGGTGCAGCTCAACTTGGCATAGCTCAACTTGCTTTAGGTACCAGGTACTCTTGGTACCAGGTGCTTCTCTCGATTTCTTTTCCTCCCTCAAGGTAGGTGGAATTCTTAGCTGATCGAAGAATCCTGCATGAAAATTCTGTGACGTTATCTTCAAACACATCTTCAAACACAGGAACAATGAAGAATATCAAATGGACGGTGTTATTGATACTCAGTATGTGGCTGTTTGTCCCAGAAACAAGTGACAATGCTCTCAGACCAATCAGAATTCTGCCGTCTTTTAACTCCACCTTTTAGTATGAGCTCATCTTGCTTAGTGGTGATGCCAAAAAAAGCACAGGTACTATTGTACTATCCACAATTTTTGCCAGTAGAAAAACAAAAAAAGAACAGTTCCCATTGAGTCGAGCTGAGCCGAGCCGTACTATGCAGGGAAAATGTCATGTCCCTGGACACGTATCCAAATCTGAAAGGATACATTTCTACATGTAACGGACTGTAGCTGAACTCAACAACCAGTTCCCCATAACAACAGTCACAAGAGCTGATCTGTGCCTGATCCTGTACAAATTCAACCAAGCATTTACTTCCCATTTTTCAGAATAACCGAAATCCAAGAAGCAACCACCATCATTGAAGCAGAAGCGTAATGCATGTTCTTTAATGCCTGCTATGGCATCTGTACCAAGATACAAGCATAAAGTCTACCTGAAAATTCCAGGTTCTCACGTGAGCATGTTTTCTGGTCTGCATTCAAAACATTTGACACTTGCAGATGTACAAATCATCAGAGCTGACACAAATATGCTGGCAGTCATGTCCCTGGGAACATGAATCCAAACCTGAAAAGAAAAAACTTCCACATCTGATATGAAGCCCTTATTGTGGAATTTCACTTCACTCACCAGCTCTTGCTCTGTACAGTATAGGGAGGATACATAACTTTCAGTCAGGCAAAACACAGGAACCGACCAAAAGACTGACAACAAATCTATGAAAAATATTCAGGTTCTTACGTGAGCATGTTTTCTGGTCTGCATTCAACACATATCCCTCTTGACATTTGCAGATGAACGAATCATCATTGCTGACACAAATATGTTGGCAGTCATGTCCTTGGGCACATGTATCTGAACCTGAAAAGAAACATCTAACCAACTAAGTCTTACTGTTCACATCATGCATCAAATGGGATTTAACTAGGGTTTGACTATTCCATTTTGCAGATCTGTGATCAGCTTACAGGGGTTGTCCCTATAAAGCCAGAATACTCTACAAGACCCTTATTAAGTCTCTACTGACCACTCTGTATGTCAGATTATGTGGCTGTGGAACAGAAGTGTAGCTGTTGAGCGAGCAATAAACCTAATTCCAGGTTCCAGGTAACACCATTCATACTGAGGTTCTGATACTAACAAGTCAACTACCTATCATCCTCTTACTCTGGTAGGGGGGGCACAGGCACGGGCACCCCCTCGAATGTGACATGCAAGTTTAAATTTTTTTAAGAAAATTATCTTACGTGAGCATGTTTTCTGGTCTGCATTCAACACAAATCCCACTCGACACTTGCAGGTATATGAATCACCATTGTTGATACAAATATGCTGGCAGTCATGTCCCTGGGCACATGCATCTGAACCTGAAAAAAGACACTCCCGTGTCTGACTGACATAGTTTTGGGTTCAGTCTAGAAAAGGAGCTTTCAAAAATTCCCAGGCAAGTTCTGTGAGTCACAAATGTTACACTGAATCTAATATGTGATAATGTGTTTATCATGTGGGTGGGTCAAACTACAACTACTGTCCTGTTGTCTGCCACCTGTCCCTTTGAACTAACACAGTATCTTAATTACTACTACTACCCCTCTTTAGCTCTCCCGCAGTGTGGCCATTATTACTTTTAGAATTTGTGTCCCTCATCAGTCCGGGCCTTTATCATGTCCTGCTCATTTAATTTGTGCTGAATAGTCTCTGCCTTCATCTATTTAGGGCAACCCAAAACATTAGTAACAAGAGATGGTATGCAGTGTCCCAACACCACAAAATACCAAATTAATTGATGTCCAAAGGGAGCTTCACAACAAAATCATATGACTGTGGAATTGCAAGATTTCTGTCAAAGTTCTTACATTAAATCTTATAAAAGTTAGACTTTTCTACCTCTAATAAGGTTTTTCCCCTCCAATCCCAAATCAGTGTTAAAGCAAGATTCAATTCAAGTATAATTGCTATGTTCAACACTTTTCAGCAGTAGTTTGCAGATAGTGAATCATGCAAAAACAGATGAGATATTGTGACACAGACATTGGACAAAAACATTAAGACAAAGATAAAGATACTCACGTGAGCATGTTTTCTTGTCCAGGTTCAAGACATAGCCCGCTCGACACTTGCAGCTGTATGAGATGCCATTGTTGACACAAATGTGCTGGCAATTGTGTCCCTGAGAACATGCATCCAAACCTGGGAAGAAACACTGTCTGATTGGCTTAAGCCTAATGAAATAATTCATAATTTGTGTTATACTTCTCTGTTAGTAAGTTAATTTTTGTAATTTTGCAATTTTGTAATTATACAGAGGCACATGCTGATTAGTTTGCTTGATCTCTGTGCTTCAACTCTAGTGATGATACAGTGAATTCATTTTGTGGTTTCAAAAAGACGTACCATTTCTTACTGTTACACTGACTCAGTTGAAGTCACCTGAATAACTATCCTCTTAACTTTGCAAAAGAATTCATGCAGTTCAGAACATGCAAACACAAAACCTACATTCATAATCATTGCATGTCTGTGGTAACTGTTGTGGATGGAGAGAAGTTGGTCTCAGTGAAACACAGAGGCTGGTTGTTCTCACTCCTCATGTTTAAGCTGTTATTCAAAAACACATTTTTGAATTTGCGTGACTGGAAGTGAGTCATCATTTTAAGCACAGTGTGAGGAACTTCTATAAATAGCATGGTTAACATTAGCAGTTACCTTGCTAGTTTGGGTGGTACCAAAGGTTTAAAAGAGAAATGGAAGTGACATTTTTAAATCGCTTTTTTACTCAAAAGTACTTTCCCTCGAAAGGTCAGAGTGGGATCTTTTTTTAAGTGACATCACCTTGCAAAACCTTTAATGTTACCTCACAAAAAGGGTGCATTCCCACGCAAAAATGTTTGCCTTATCAAGACCGTTTTGTGTTCTCTCAAAGTAACTTTTGTGTTACCTTTCATTAACGTTTTACATTCCTGAGGGGTACTTTTACGATTCAAGTCTATTGTCTTCTGTTTTCAGTGCGTAAGTGTAGTGAGCACTGCGGGTGAACTACACTCAATACTGTGCATGAATGCATCCAGTGGAGACACAGACAAACGGCCTTCCATATGCTGCTGCTCTGCTAATGTGCTGCTCATGCTACGCTTCCTGTGTTGCACTGTAGCTACTCTTTCAAATGCAAAATGTATTGTGAGACAACACAGAACTCACTGGGAGGGAATGCAAAAGTAGTTCAGAAAAAAATTCCACTGTGACCTTTCTGGGATCCGTGGTCAACAAAAAATTGAGAATAACACCTTTATTTTGAAATCCTCCTAGTTTATAGTCTTTCAAAATTCTGATATCACCCAAATGTATCATGGCAATGAGCAGTTGGGCTGGATCAAGCATTCCTGTAGCCTACAAGAATTAACTACCAGATTAAATAAATAATAAATTTAGCAGAAAATATGTAAATGCCTCATACCATTAGTGGCATTTTCCAAATTTGTAAACTCATAAATGTTAAACTCTTTTAATCGTAACGATTTGATCTTTTTTTCCCTAGGATTCTGTCATTACTGTGAGGTTGCCAAGAAATTGGCAGTGGCACCAGGAAGTCACTGCGACCAGCTAAGAAATAGTCACGCACACAGTCCCCTGTGAAACCACATATGGAGCGAAGCCTGCGAGCTAGTTCAGGCAGTCAACTTGAGCTGTGCTTCTATATACACATGACATGCCTCACTCCATAATCACTAACCAAGCGCACCTTTCCAATCTGGCGGTCTATTTAAATTGCCCAATTTCCCAGCTCTCCCTCTGCTCTGTCAATGCCGCTGTTGCCCTGCATCCTTATTGCTGCTGCTGCTGCTGCTGCTGCTCTGTAAGCCCCACCACCATCCCAGCATCCACCTGTAGGCTCCGGCTAGGGGTTTAAGGTATTTGCTCATCACTCCCCAATATCTCTATGTAAACATATCTGCAGGGAGTGATGAGGTCGGAGCCTAGATGCCAAAATCTAAATATGCTATACTGCTGTAATAAACATTTCAAACATGAGTTGTCTGACTGAACCTGTTTGTTATCGCATTGATAAAACAAATTAAATAGAACACGTTTAAGCTTTAAAGGGGCTCTAGCTCTATCACTTTCTGACAGAGCTAGGCTAGCTGTTTCCACCTTGTTTCTATTATTTATGCTAAGCTAACTGGCTACTGGGTCCAGCTTCATATTGAACTGACATATTAACAGACAGATAGAGGTATATCTTAGGCGAACAATTGTATCTCCCAAAATATTGAACAATTTAAATGGGTCTTCATATACTTATTATTATTATTATGATTATTATTATGTGAAATTTTGTACATGCTGTAACATTGAGCAATTATAAAAAAAATATGTTCTCTTCATCTTTAAATCTAAAGGTTTTTACTCAAATATATTTCAGTCAAATTTAGCACAAGCTAATTTAGTTTTTGTGGTGCAGAATGAGTTGCCGTTAATGTTCTGCCAGAGATTGCAAAAGCCCAAATTGTGGACCTGGGCAGCGTAGCACGTTTTCAGGTAACTGAGCAGGGCACATGGCATTAGGGCACAAGATGCAGCGTAGAGGGCAAAGAGCAGCGCGCTCCCTGTGAAAAGTAAAGGCAGCATCATATTAGGTTTCAACCATTTTAAAGTCTTCAAGGTTATAGAATTTGTTGTGAACTGGCAGATCAACCAGTGAGGTATGTCTTCTTCTTTAGGTTGGTTAGTATGTGACTTATTGTACATGTTTAATGTTGACTGCATTCACTTATTATCACCATCTGCATGGCAACAGTTAGAGAACACCTTTTGGTGGGAAATCCAAACACAACAAGTGTGGTAAATCATTGGTTACCTTGAGCTTGTTCTTAAGACCAAAGAAGAGGACCAATGACTTTAGAATGGAGATTCCCTGTCTGGTGCTGCCCATTTGATCACAGGTGAAATTTAAAGGACGGATCTGACATACCGTTGTTTTCTCTATCATTATTTTTACCGTCTTTTCTGCCATCTAGGCTTAGTCCGCCATCTAATGGAATATCCGCACTCCCATTATCATCATCCTTACCACACAAGGTTTCTCTAAATTTGGAAGTGAGCTTCTCTATGACACCATAGGTCTCCACATAGAAGACATGGTCATCATATGGGGGGCTGGCCATGAGGCGGAGTGACATCATATCAGCTCGGTCTACTCCCACTGCGTAGATCTCGATGCCAGATGCCCGAGCGGCTGCTGATACCTCCTCTACCTTATCCTGGGGCCTGCCGTCTGTCACTATGATGGCTACTTTGGCAATGTTCATGGAGGTAGATCGGGCCCCTGCATCCGCCGTGAAAGCTTTCTCCATGGCAGTCTTGATGGCCATGCCTGTCATGGTGCCTGAAGCGAGGGGCTCGATGCGAGCCAGCGCCTGCTTCAGGGCAGACTTCTCAACATACGTCTTCAGCATAAACTCGATCTGCACTGTGCTGGCGTAATTGACGAGGCCAACTCGTGTCGTGTCTGAACCGATCTCCAAGCTATCCACCATGTCTTGCAGGAACTCCTTGGCCTTCTCAAACTCAGCAGGGCGTACACTGCGGGAGCTGTCTATGATGAAGACCAAGTCTATAGGACGATTTCTGCAGTTGGACCTTGTTGCTGTAAAATAAAAAGAATGTTCTGAATTAATCAAAATTGTATTTTCCATTGTTTTGAGATTGAAGATACAGTATTTCTCACACAACTTGTGAAAATGGAAATCTCGTGGACTTCTCATATAACATGCATTCACATCCCTGCACACACATACGGTCACTAAGGCACATACACTTCAAACCATGGTCTGACTGGTTGGCAGATCCACTTAAATATATATTTAAACCAATTTAGAAGCAAAAAAGCTGTACCAGATGCTAATAAAGTGCAACAATTGTAGGAGACTAGAGATAAATACTAATATCATAACAGCTAATATATCACTTTCAAATACTAAATGCATAAATATACCATCATGTAATAAGCAAAGTAAATAATATTTAGCTTTTATTATCTAAATGGCCCATCACAATGCAGTGTTAAAAGATACATACCTTCAAGTCATTATAGCCCTCCTTAGTGACCCCAAGTCTCCAAATGATGTGTTTTAAGAGTGGATAACTTAAAAAGTAAAAGGGGATGTACCTTTAAGCACCAACGTACTATGGACTCAATACAAGCTCTAAATGGGAAATCCCAACTAATCAACCTTTTCTCCAGTCATCAAATAATACCACTATGACCATTACTTTAAGGAAATAATATTAATGAATAATAATAATATATGAAACTACAGTAAGATTGGCATCTCCATGAGTTGTAAAATATTTCATCTACAACCCCAATATCAGTGACTTTCATCCTCTTCTGGAGCTGTATCAAAAACATATTTATGTTTTCATCCCAATGAATGAGAAACAAACCTTCTGACACATATATGTTAGGGGGACGTGGTGACCTTTATTTTTAATTGTGTATGACACTTTTAAATTTGCCAGAGAAGACTGTCCACAGCTCCACATCAGTCTTTTGGGTGTCAATTGATAATAATGGCAAAGGTTAAGTACCTGCGGCGGTTCTCATAGATGCGGAAGAGCCACTCGAGAGTCGAGCAGGCTGACGAGATGCAAATGGTGTGGCTTTGTGTTGCAGCTGTGAGAGCGGCTGGCTTGTCTTTGGCGGCTGCTGATGGGAGGGCTGATAGCGATAAAACCTGGAATTAGTGCCACCAGCTTTGCCACAGGAGACGGAAGAGGCAGAGGGGAAACCATTAGAGCGGTTACTTTGGTGGAACTCAAGCAAAATGTGATGACGGGCATGCATATGATTATTAGCTTAATAAGGCTTAAATTTCAGACTTTCAGTGTGAAAATGAGAGATGGAAAAAGAGTGTGCACTACATACTTTTTGGGCTGTTGCTGAAGACATACAGAATATATCATACAGTAACTTACTTTACTGATGTGCATATTTACTGATGCCGTTATATTGCTGCATGACATGGTTTTAAAATCATGTTGCAATTATTTTGACAGATATTACGATTGCAATATGATTTACCATTAGTGGGAATGATCATTTTTGCATTACAAGTTTCATTTTCACTGAAAAAACTATTAAAATCAGGACAATGTGACATTTGTTGAGGTCTGTACCAAACAAACATGTTTTCTTACATCTCAAAGTTTGTAGGCCATCTCTGCATAACTACAGTACTTCATTACAATGCTGTTTTGTTCCACATTTGACCTTTATCAAACACACTGCGGCTTCTGTGATTTGGATATTGCACTTGGCCATGTCAATATATATATAATATTTTGATTCATTGTGCATCTCTAAATTTTATTAGAACATATGTTTTTATTATTTAAAGAATGATGGGAGAATAATAGTTTAATAATAATTTTAATTGAGCCCTGTCATGTATTAACATTGCATTCAAGTCACAGAGCTAAGCACCCTATTTACTGAAAAATAAATATCCAGCAATCTTTGAAAAACTTGGAAGGCTCCTTAACAACACTTACTGCTGTTCTGGAGGTATTTGCAGAATGCAAAAAGTCTCCACTACGCATATGTAAGAAAAAATATTAAATATTGCACGTCTTTCTCTTCATTAAAACAACCATTATAGTTATACATTTCATATTTCCCTGCTGAGTTTGTACAACATGAACCAAATATAACATTTCATTATCACTCATATTTCTTTCTAATATTATGTATGTATTTTCATACAAAATGGCAACAAAGCATTTATATTTTTCTTATGTATTACAAAAGGACAACAACATTATGTAATGGAAAAGTAAGTAAGTTATTTTCATTTATTTCTTTTATCCATATGGTTAGAATGAACTTTAAGGATTCTGCAAGCAGCTTCAGAACAGCAGCAGCAGCCACTGGGTCTTCAGGTTATTTATGCTTAGCTCTGCGACTGTGTGATACATGAGGGGCATACACTAACAATTTGTGCAGTTTTTAAGTTTATAAGTTTGCACCATACTTCGTAAAACTGCATTAGAGGGTTATTGCGCACATCCACAGCATGCGCAGCAGGTGGATGGATATAAGGACACACAGCATCTGCAGACCAACCTCCACTGTCGGTTGTCCGTGTCTCCTGCGTCAGGTAGTTGTTGGCACCTGCCCGGGCAGCCTGCTGCTGGAAGCCTCGGGATGTGGAGCCACCCAGCTGCATCTCTTGGAATGTTTCAGCACTTGGTGGTTCATCAGAGGTTTGTTCGATAGATTTGATGTCTTCAAAGCGCTGATGGACCCTCGGAGGGATTTGCGGGGACACTCGTGGGATTAAAGGACTAATTGAGTGAATCTTCCGGTTGCGTGACCCAGACTGTGGAAGACTTCCCAGAGTTCCCGATGCCAGGATGCCAGTGAGACAGAGCAGTCCCCACACTGATGGAGTCATGTTCCCTGCGCACAGTTGTTTTCCGTCCGTCCTTCGGCCCACTACCACTGCTGACTATTTATACGGTCTGATCCACGGCCCACAAAGCGTGGGGGAGCAGGAGGCCCAATCCAGAGACATGTGGAGGAAGTGAGGGAAGGGGGGCACAAGTGAGGGTGGTCTCACTTCTCTATGAAGTGTAGTCTGAACTAGAATTGACTCCATTTGTCCTGGATTTATAGTTACATTCACAGTCATTTTTGTTATTATATTATATGTTGTATTATTTATTTAATAAAGAATACAATGTGCATTTCCATATAAGACTACATAGGCTATCTAGACTACTCCTAAATCAAACATTGAAGGCAATAATCATTGGTGAAATAAAACTATTTTCTCAAGTACTGTACTGTTTAAAGATAAAGATTTTGACCTCATAAAATATAATCAGCTTATAAAAAATAAGATAACAGCAGCTCCACATCAACCAGATAAAACATTAATGTTCTACTTACACCTTAATGCAGTGGTCCACTACCTTTTTCCCCAAGGGACCCCTTTTCATCATCATTTATTGAGTAAGTGATGACCCCTGACTAAATGATGTGTATTTTATGGCTATTCCAGATTATATTCAAAACTGTACAATGAACCAATACAGTGAACTACAAGAAGTTTGTGTACAAGGTGGGATTTGAATGGAATTTAAACAGATTATTTCCAATTCTCTGTCTGTTTCATGTTTTTTTGTTTTTTTACAGTCATTCGTACTTAATAAGCTTCTCTTTTTTTAAGAAAATTCAGTGTTGTTTTTCTCATTGTTCTATTGTTGTTTGAACTTCCAGCTACCAATGCAGGACGAGGCTGTTTATCAGAGAGTAAAGGCTCTGTGACTATAACTTGTGTTCAGTTTAAATCTTAAATAATAATCTAATCTTTAGAAATAACAATTTTGTTTAGATTTTTAAGAGATAAGATAGGTAAGATTGGTCCCACACTAGGGAAATTCACTCACTTTTTTTTTTTATAAAACTGGAAAATACAAGATAAGGAAAATAGAGAAAACTAAATAAAAGTTGTATGTTTACTATTTACAGCTTTTTTATATACAGATGGGATTGATATAGAACACAACACAGGTCACAGCAGTAGGTAGTGGCGTGATGTAAAAATATATAATCGCACACTGACAAAAATAAATACAAATGTGGAAATATAGGCTATGAAAGCCTGAATCGATTTGCAAAAATATAATTATATAATATAGTATATGCGCATATTACTCTAACTACATTAACTGAACAAATTACCATGATGGCATACGTGAGTTTTAACATAAACCTCTCTATTTCAAGGCACAAGATACTCAGTGAGCATGCTGCCCTCTCATGGGCTGTAGTGCAAACTGTGCCACAGACACAGCTTTAGGTCACTGACCTAACAGTTGCACGTTTCCAAAACAGATTCCTGCCCAGTCTGAAGATTAGAGATCATGAAGACTGATAATGAATTACATAACTGTGAATGAACCCTCCTGTATGAGCAATTCAAATCACCTCGCAGTTCTCGTGCCAAACAAGTATTTTAAAGATGGAATAGGAAGTGTTTTGCATCAAATAACAGGTTCTGTCTGCCAATGCAAACGATCCTTTGACTTCCCAAATGGTTTTTTTTTTATAAAAAGTGTTGTTCAGGTATCAGTTCACACTCTAGCGAGAGGAACAAATGCATACATGTGTTCACCCCCGTGTATCCACAATGTTGTTATTGCTTTTTGTTAGTATCCTGAGGGCATTCTGCCCTTGTTCAGGAGAGAATGGTCTTCTGCATGCATACTCCCCTGGGGACATCATCATTGGAGGACTTTTCCCTGTTCACCGAGAAACCAATAGGAGCACAATGCCCGGACCACTTAAATGTAGCGCGTAAGTATGACCTCATTGAAATGAATCAATTAACCCATTAATAAGTAATGACTACAATTAGTATGTTAAGGAAAAGCCTAGCAGAATCTTTCCTGTCAGAGGTGGCAACACAAAATCGGCTGTGGAAGCTTTCAAGATGTGGCTACACATGACAAAATCTGCATTTTTGATTCCACATATTCATCATGCATAATGGGAGAAGTTGATTTTCTTTTAAAAGTGCAAAAGGAACCCTACAAATATAAGCGCTTCCTGGAAAACCTGGATATTTAGGGACTTGTTTGTGGAAGCGCCTGGAAATTGATTAAAATGACCAAATATACTGGAAATAATCTGTTTTCCTGGAAAAACCTCAGATTGCCTTCATAAACCTGGGTTAGAGGAAACATTCTGTGAAATCACTGCACAAAAACTGACCACCTACCTGTAATGAACCTGAGACACTGTGTAAGAAAATGTGTAAATACTAGGACTACTGTTAATTTATATGGATTGGGTTGGATCTGAATAAGACACTTTCAACATTAATTTGTTAAGGTGACTATAATATATTCAATAATTTGATCTGTCCTCTGGCAATTTTTGAAGGTATGATTTCAAGTCATTCCTACACACTCAAGTGATGATATACACCATCAGAGAAATAAACCAGCGCACACCAAGGGTTCTACCTGACTTCACCCTAGGATATGACATCTATGACACTTGTGGAGATGTCAACTTTGCCATCAGAGCAACGCTCCAGCTGCTGAAGAACCAATCAGACCCTGAGAGGTGTTTAGTACCTGCAAGCTTTCAATCTGCTTTACTTGAACCCCAAACAAAGGCAGTGATTGGTGAAAGGTATTCTGAAGTATCAATAGCTATTGCACGAGTTATTGCTCTGTCATCAGTGACCCAGGTTTGTTCTCCCTATTAATACTTTCCCAAATACTACAGTTAAAAATGAAAAAGATTTTGAATGCCTTTGTGTAGTTTGAGGCTAATGACAAGATTGTGACAGAATTCCTATTTTAATTTAAGATTCTGTAGCATTTAATGCAATAATGGTAACAAATATCATTCTTGTGTCTCTAGATACAAACATTGTTTCATGATTTGTTCCTGTTTGTTCCAGATTAGCTATGCATCAACAAGTGAACACCTCAGCAGGAAGAGGAAGTTTCCCACTTTTCTGCGAACAATATCTAGTGATGAGCATCAGACACGGGCCATTGCTAAGCTGGTGTACAAGTTTAATTGGAAATCCGTGGCCATTGTAGGAAGTGATGATGAGTACGGGAAGTATGGCAGTGATAACCTTGTGTACATCTTCCGTGAAATAAAGAAAATCTGCATTGAATTCATTGACATCCTACCTGGTGACTTTTACGAAGACCTTACGAAGGTGAACGCGCTGGTGAGCAAAATTAATAAATCCTCGGCCGAGGCCATCATCATGTTCACCAAAGACACCAATGTGGGTCCCATCATGCGAGAAGCCATTAATCAGAAACTCAACAGGACTTGGATTGCAAGTGACTCATGGTCCACCTCTTCAAAAGTCTACCAACTGAAAGGCATTGAGAAGGCCGGGGAGGTTTTTGGATTCATCTCTAAGATGAACGAGGTGCCTAGCTTCAAAGACTACGTCATGTCAATGTTCAATGGAACCACTAACGCCATTCTCGAACATTACCTGACCCATTATCCACTTTGTTCTAATCGGACTGATGAGAACAGGCAATGTGACTGTTTTACCACAAACAGCCAACCCGGGTCCGGGCAATGTCAGGACATAAGATGTGTGGCCGATAACATTGACCAGGATGAATTATACAATGTCTACTTAGCTGTTCAAGTCATTGTTGAGGGTCTCAGACACTTGCTGAAGTGTGACAACCAGCAATGTAAACATAGCGGCAAATTTACAGCCCTGGAGGTACAGAGGAGTTATCTTTCTGACATATTTTTCATATTATATTGCATGTGTCTTTAATTAGGGTATTTCCAAAAAAATCAAACTGAAAATGCCTTTTTTATTATCCTGTTTTATGTCGGTAAAAGCAACAATAACAAAATGTACTGATTGTCTCCACAGCTTTTTAAGGAAATCAAGAAAGTCAACTTCACCGTGAACACCACACATATATTTTTTAATGACAATGGAGACCCCAGTTTAGGGTATGATATTGTGTATTGGAACACGACTAATTCCACACGCATAGAAAATGTTGGAGAATACTGGCCACATAGAGAAGAAATCATAATCCCATTTGATGTTGTTGGAAAGCGCAAAGTGACGGTAAGGTCAGTTCATCACATATTTATTTCCAAAAATAATTCATGTGTATCATGTCGCACTGATTCTGTTTTGTCTTTCACAGGTGACTGCTTACAACTGCTCCAAAACATGTGCGCCAGGGCAGGAGTTGAAAATGCAAAGCAAAGAGTGCTGCAAAGATTGTGTTCCATGTGCAGATGGGGAGTTTTCTGCTGGAAATGGTAAGTGTTTTATTATTAATCTCTAGCAAGATGATCAACAGTCATCTCATCTCAACTCAACAATTTCCTTCCTTTCCCATATGAAATATTCACCACCTGGGAAAATGGGCAGTGTGAGGATTTGAGCGACTTTGATAAGGGCCAGATTGTGATGGTTAGACGACTAGGGACTCTAGATGTATGGTTTATATTATTTATTTATCCTCTGTGTCTGCTGTGAGGGCTGTGTGAATATACAGCATCAAATCTATCTCTTTATCTTTATCTATTTATCCAAACAAACTGTACGCAAATGATTGGGCTCTGGATCACACCTTGACACAGAAAACATGTCTTGACTCCATGCTGATATAAGCTAATATGTTAATAGAACAATTATTTTTACATTGCCCAAATAACACATTAGGAGTTGAATTAGCAGTTGCCAAAGCTATGGTAAACATAACAAATGGCATGTCCTGTTTACCAAGCATTCCAGCTTCTTTCCGTTTTCAGTATCGGGCCTTGTGAAAATGGACTCACTTCTGTAGCCAGCCTCAAGTGGCCGTTAGAGGAACTGCAGGATTTGTTACTTGGTGTTGGCTTTGTTTGCCAACCACAGAGTTGCTGCTTGTGCATGAGTAGCATACCAAACTACTATACTATTCAGTATAATTCTAATTGAGGACAGTCTTGTTTTCCCAAATGTCTGAGGAAGTTTTGCATTTATATGCAAATACTGCAGAACGTTACTGTCACATTTCTGTACTGTGAGGTCGAGTTGCTGCTGTGGCTTGGTACTTCCTTCTTTATGCAAAACAAAATGTTTTTTGTCTTTGTGTATCTCTCACACGATCCTTCTGATGAATATGCAAAAATATTAAATTCACATTTCTTTGTGTACTTCCACAGGTGAGGAGTGTCAACGCTGCAGTCAAGATGAGTTTTCATCTCCACAGAGGGATAAGTGTTTGAACAAAACTGTTGAATTCCTACATTGGGAAGATCCCTTTGTTATTATTTTGAGTTGCTTGGGAGTCTTTGGGATATTTGCTATATTTGTGTTTGCTATGTTGTTTACATTGTATCATAGCACTCCCATTGTGAAGGCTGTTGGAGGCTACTTGTGTTTCTTGGAGCTTTTTTCCTTGCTGGCCTGCTTCTGCGTTATGTTTACCTTCACAGGAGAGCCCACTAGGGTTAGCTGCATGGTAGGCCTGCCTGTTTTTGGCCTAGCCCTGTCCCTCTGCATGGCCTGCATTCTGGCCAACCTCTTCCAAATCTTAGTGGGCTTCAACTTTGATCTGAAGATAGGGTCCTGGATGAAGAAGCTCAATCGGCCGCTGGCTGTGGTGACCATTGTCTTTGGGGTCCAGTTGGCCGTTTGTGTATCATGGCTGTACTTTAATCCCCCATTTCCTGATAAAGAGACACTAAACAATGCCATCGTGTTGAAGTGTGACAAAGGCTCCGACAAGTTCTTTATAGCCATGTTAGGCTACAATGGTTTCTTGGCCGTTAGCTGTTTCCTGTTTGCATTCAAAGGTAACCAGTTGCCAGATCTGTATAAAAATGCACGTTTAATCACCACCAGTATGATGCTGTTTTTAATCATTTGGATCCTTTTAATCCCAATTTATATCAGTTTGATTGGGAAGTACAAACGTGCCATTGAAGGTGCAGCCATTCTAATTTCTAGCTACAGCATCCTCTGCTGTCACTTGGCCCCAAAGTGTTACATCATGGTGTTCAGGAAAGAGATTAATAATCAGCACGCCATCACCGAGTACATCAGGAAGCATTATGAGCAGAACAACATGGCTGTGATCAAATCCTGACCTCGCATGTACATTTATAAATGCTGTGCGGGTGATGGGTTACAATTAGCCGCACAAAAATCTCTCTTCCTTTGCTGAATTCACAGCCACTGGTGTTTGGCCAGTTTCTCTCTGGCTCAACGGCACAGACTTAGATAAGTGCTTAAGTGCTTAAGTGTGAGAGGCTGTTTAAAGGACATATTTCGAAACATAATTTCAAAAAGAGATTTATTCATTCTAGCACATTAGATTAAGTTTATTATTACAATTATATTATATTATTATATAGTTTTACCTTTATGATGGGAAGGGCACTTAAGGGACCGTCTGCCTGATTTGAACATCTTACAGAGTGGACGAGTTGTTTCAAACAATCAATTTACTCATTTTTTTCCAAACAACATCACACACGTCTTTTTCTTGTTACTCCTCCCATGTTTGTTTGCCATTATTTTAACACTTCAGGATTTCCCCTGATAGCAACGTTGTTTAACGCCACAACGCTGTGCACCTTGGGTAATTCCCTGCAGAAATGTGGACTTGGAAAGGGCCGGGTTAGACCTAAACTGAGTCCGTCTTTGTATGGTTTTACATTTTAAAGCAAAAGTTCAACATTTTGGGGATTACGTGTATTCGCTTTCCACTGTCAAAGCTGTCCATTACATATGAAGCTACAGCAAGAAGCCTGCTGTGAACTGATTAGGAGGAAGGACGTGGTTCATGGGAGGAATGGATGGCTGGCTGCTGTTGGCAGTTGTGATATCAGCCTTCTGTGTGTATGAGTGTATTTCCCAGAATGAATATCATCACACACTGTATGTACACTAGGCTACTTGTGTCTCGCCATACGCACGACATTTACTGAACCTTTTTCTCGTATACAATCCTTAGAAGTTCTAAAGCTTGTGTCATTGCATTTGTTATCTTTACTGCTGTTATTACCACTGCTGATAAATCATGAGTTGTTTTCAAAAGATAACGAACTGCCATTGTATATACAGGAAAAAAAAGATGGGGAAACTGCGAAAGACACCTTTTACTTTTTGTTTTATGTCATGTCCCTGACCTTCATTGTGTATCAGTTTTATGTGTGTCTTTCAGATATGAGTCAGACACACTTAACTGACACCTGCAATTACTGTTTTGCTTTTCACTTCATTTTGTGTAAATATAATTTGATAGATGTTTCACCATAAAGGGCTATATACTGTCAATGAATAAATGTTGCTTTTCTGTGCGAATACTGCAGTCCTGCTCTTCCTGTGTACCTAGAGGGTTATTGCGCACATCCACAGCATGCGCAGCAGGTGGATGGATATTAGGACACACAGAATCTGCAGACCAACCTCCACTGTCCGTTGTCCGTGTCTCCTGCGTCAAGTAGTTGTTGGCACCTGCCCGGGCACCCTGCTGCTGGAAGCCTCGGGATGTGGAGCCACCCAGCTGCATCTCTTGGAATGTTTCAGCACTTGGTGGTTCATCAGAGGTTTGTTCGATAGATTTGATGTCTTCAAAGCGCTGATGGACCCTCGGAGGGATTTGCGGGGACACTCGTGGGATTAAAGGACTAATTGAGTGAATCTTCCGGTTGCATGACCCAGACTGTGGAAGACTTCCCAGAGTTCCCGATGCCAGGAGGCCAGTGAGACAGAGCAGTCCCCACACTGATGGAGTCATGTTGCCTGCGCACAGTTGTTTTCCGTCCGTCCTTCGGCCCACTACCACTGCTGACTATTTATACAGTCTGATCCACGGCCCACAAAGCGTGGGGGAGCAGGAGGCCCAATCCAGAGACATGTGGAGGAAGTGAGGGAAGGGGGGCACAAGTGAGGGTGGTCTCACTTCTCTATGAAGTGTAGTCTGAACTAGAATTGACTCCATTTGTCCTGGATTTATAGTTACATTCACAGTCATTTTTGTTATTATATTATATGTTGTATTATTTATTTAATAAAGAATACAATGTGCATTTCCATATAAGACTACATAGACTATCTAGACTACTCCTAAATCAAACATTGAAGGCAATAATCATTGGTGAAATAAAACTATTTTCTCAAGTACTGTACTGTTTAAAGATAAAGATTTTGACCTCATAAAATATAATCAGCTTATAAAAAATAAGATAACAGCAGCTCCACATCAACCAGATAAAACATTAAAGTTCTACTTACACCTTAATGCAGTGGTCCACTACCTTTTTCCCCAAGGGACCCCTTTTCATCATCATTTATTGAGTAAGTGATGACCCCTGACTAAATGATGTGTATTTTATGGCTATTCCAGATTATATTCAAAACTGTACAATGAACCAATACAGTGAACTACAAGAAGTTTGTGTACAAGGTGGGATTTGAATGGAATTTAAACAGATTATTTCCAATTCTCTGTCTGTTTCATGTTTTTCTGTTTTTTTACAGTCATTCGTACTTAATAAGCTTCTCTTTTTTTAAGAAAATTCAGTGTTGTTTTTCTCATTGTTCTATTGTTGTTTGAACTTCCAGCTACCAATGCAGGACGAGGCTGTTTATCAGAGAGTAAAGGCTCTGTGACTATAACTTGTGTTCAGTTTAAATCTTAAATAATAATCTAATCTTTGGAAATAACAATTTTGTTTAGATTTTTAAGAGATAAGATAGGTAAGATTGGTCCCACACTAGGGAAATTCACTCACTTTTTTTTTTATAAAACTGGAAAATACAAGATAAGAAAAATAGAGAAAACTAAATAAAAGTTGTATGTTTACTATTTACAGCTTTTTTATATACAGATGGGATTGATATAGAACACAACACAGGTCACAGCAGTAGGTAGTGGCGTGATGTAAAAATATATAATCGCACACTGACAAAAATAAATACAAATGTATAGATTAGTGGAAATATAGGCTATGAAAGCCTGAATCGATTTGCAAAAATATAATTATATAATATAATATATGCGCATATTACTCTAACTACATTAACTGAACAAATTACCATGATGGCATACGTGAGTTTTAACATAATCCTCTCTATTTCAAGGCACAAGATATTCAGTGAGCATGCTGCCCTCTCATGGGCTGTAGTGCAAACTGTGCCACAGACACAGCTTTAGGTCACTGACCTAACAGTTGCACGTTTCCAAAACAGATTCCTGCCCTGTCTAAAGATTAGAGATCATGAAGACTGATAATGAATTACATAACTGTGAATGAACCCTCCTGTATGAGCAATTCAAATCACCTCGCAGTTCTCGTGCCTAACAAGTATTTTAAAGATGGAATAGGAAGTGTTTTGCATCAAATAACAGGTTCTGTCTGCCAATGCAAACGATCCTTTGACTTCCCACATTATTTTTTTTTTATAAGAAGTATTCTTCAGGTATCAGTTCACACTCTAGCGAGAGGAACAAATGCATACATGTGTTCACCCCCGTGTATCCACAATGTTGTTATTGCTTTTTGTCAGTATCCTGAAGGCATTCTGCCCTTGTTCAGGAGAGAATGGTCTTCTGCATGCATACTCCCCTGGGGACATCATCATTGGAGGACTTTTCCCTGTTCACCGAGAAACTAATAGGAGCACAATGCCCGGACCACTTAAATGTAGCACGTAAGTATGACCTCATTGAAATGAATCAGTTAACCCATTAATAAGTAATGACTACATTTAGTATGTTAAGGAAAAGCCTAGCAGAATCTTTCCTGTCAGAGGTGGCAACACAAAATCGGCTGTGGAAGCTTTCAAGATGTGGCTACACATGACAAAATCGGCATTTTTGATTCCACATATTTATCATGCCTAATTGGTAGAAGCTGATTTTCTTTTAAAAATGCAAAAGAAACCCCACAAATATAAGCAGATGTCCCACGTTTTGTGGAAGACCTGTATATTTAGGGACTTGTTTGTGGAAACGCTTGGAAATTGATTAAAATGACCAGATATACTGGAAATAATCTATGTTCTCTGGAAAAAATGTACTGTATTATTGACACTCATTCAGTCAGACTGCCTTCATAAACCTGGGTTAGAGGAAACATTTTGTCAAATCACTGCAGAAAAACGCTGACCACCTACCTGTAATGAACCTGAGGCACTTCATCATGGACAAACTGGGGAAAATGTGTAAATACTAGGACTACTGTTAATTTATATGGCTGTTTGTGAGCAAGTGGAAAGAAAATTATTTCTTAGAGTGAAACCCAAAAGGTGGGAACCCTGAATAAGACACTTTCAACATTAATTTGTTAAGGTGACTATAATATATTCAATAATTTGATCTGTCCTCTGGCAATTTTAGGTATGATTTCAAGTCGTTCTTACGCACTCAAGTGATGATATACACCATCAGAGAAATAAACCAGCGCACACCAAGGGTTCTACCTGACTTCACCCTAGGATATGACATCTATGACACTTGTGGAGATGTCAACTTTGCCATCAGAGCAACGCTCCAGCTGCTGAAGAACCAATCAGACCCTGAGAGGTGTTTAGTACCTGCAAGCTTTCAATCTGCTTTACCTGAACCCCAAACAAAGGCAGTGATTGGTGAAGGGTATTCTGAAGTATCAATAGCTATTGCACGAGTTATTGCTCTGTCATCAGTGACCCAGGTTTGTTCTCCCTATTAATACTTTCCCAAATACTACAGTTAAAAATGAAAAAGATTTTGAATGCCTTTGTGTAGTTTGAGGCTAATGACAAGATTGTGACAGAATTCCTATTTTAATTTAAGATTCTGTAGCATTTAATGCAATAATGGTAACAAATATCATTCTTGTGTCTCTAGATACAAACATTGTTTCATGATTTGTTCCTGTTTGTTCCAGATTAGCTATGCATCAACAAGTGAACACCTCAGCAGGAAGAGGAAGTTTCCCACTTTTCTGCGAACAATATCTAGTGATGAGCATCAGACACGGGCCATTGCTAAGCTGGTGTACAAGTTTAATTGGAAATCCGTGGCCATTGTAGGAAGTGATGATGAGTACGGGAAGTATGGCAGTGATAACCTTGTGTACATCTTCCGTGAAATAAAGAAAATCTGCATTGAATTCATTGACATCCTACCTGGTGACTTTTACGAAGACCTTACGAAGGTGAACGCGCTGGTGAGCAAAATTAATAAATCCTCTGCCGAGGCCATCATCATGTTCACCAAAGACACCAATGTGGGTCCCATCATGCGAGAAGCCATTAATCAGAAACTCAACAGGACTTGGATTGCAAGTGACTCATGGTCCACCTCTTCAAAAGTCTACCAACTGAAAGGCATTGAGAAGGCCGGGGAGGTTTTTGGATTCATCTCTAAGATGAACGAGGTGCCTAGCTTCAAAGACTACGTCATGTCAATGTTCAATGGAACCACTAACGCCATTCTCGAACATTACCTGACCCATTATCCACTTTGTTCTTATCGGACTGATGACAACAGGCAATGTGACTGTTTTACCACAAACAGCCAACCCGGGTCCGGGAAATGTCAGGACATAAGATGTGTGGCCGATAACATTGACATGGATAAATTATACAATGTCTACTTAGCTGTTCAAGTCATTGTTGAGGGTCTCAGACACTTGCTGAAGTGTGACAACCAGCAGTGTAAACATAGCGGAAAATTTACAGCCCTGGAGGTACAGAGGAGTTATCTTTCTGACATATTTTTCATATTGATATTGCATGTGTCTTTAAACCAACAGGAAATACGCTTATTTGCACTCCTGCTGAGTCCATGCAAATTAGGGTATTTCCAAAAAAATCAAACTGAAAATGCCTTTTTTAGTATCCTGTTTTATGTCGGTAAAAGCAACAATAACAAAATGTACTGATTGTCTCCACAGCTTTTTAAGGAAATCAAGAAAGTCAACTTCACCGTGAACACCACACATATATTTTTTAATGACAATGGAGACCCCAGTTTAGGGTATGATATTGTGTATTGGAACACAACTAATTCCACACGCATAGAAAATGTTGGAGAATACTGGCCACATAGAGAAGAAATCATAATCCCATTTGATGTTGTTGGAAAGCGCAATGTGACGGTAAGGTCAGTTCATCACATATTTATTTCCAAAAATAATTCATGTGTATCATGTCGCACTGATTCTGTTTTGTCTTTCACAGGTGACTGCTTACAACTGCTCCAAAACATGTGCGCCAGGGCAGGAGTTGAAAATGCAAAGCAAAGAGTGCTGCAAAGATTGTGTTCCATGTGCAGATGGGGAGTTTTCTGCTGGAAATGGTAAGTGTTTTATTATTAATCTCTAGCAAGATGATCAACAGTCATCTCATCTCAACTCAACAGTTTCCTTCCTTTCCCATATGAAATATTCACCACCTGGGAAAATGGGCAGTGTGAGGATTTGAGCGACTTTGATAAGGGCCAGATTGTGATGGTTAGATGACTAGGGACTCTAGATGTATGGTTTATATTATTTATTTATCCTCGGTGTCTGCTGTGAGGGCTGTGTGAATATACAGCATCAAATCTATCTCTTTATCTTTATCTATTTATCCAAACAAACAGTACGCAAATGATTGGGCTCTGGATCACACCTTGACACAGAAAACATGTCTTGACTCCATGCTGATATAAGCTAATATGTTAATAGAACAATTATTTTTACATTGCCCAAATAACACATTAGGAGTTGAATTAGCAGTTGCCAAAGCTATGGTAAACATAACAAATGGCATGTCCTGTTTACCAAGCATTCCAGCTTCTTTCCGTTTTCAGTATCGGGCCTTGTGAAAATGGACTCACTTCTGTAGCCAGCCTCAAGTGGCCGTTAGAGGAACTGCAGGTTTTGTTACTTGGTGTTGGCTTTGTTTGCCAACCACAGAGTTGCTGCTTGTGCATGAGTAGCATACCAAACTACTATACTATTCAGTATAATTCTAACTGAGGACAGTCTTGTTTTCCCAAATGTCTGAGGAAGTTTTGCATTTATATGCAAATACTGCAGAACGTTACTGTCACACTACTGCTGTACTGTGAGGTTGAGTTGCTGCTGTGGCTTGGTACTTCCTTTTTTATGCAAAACAAAATGTTTTTTGTCTTTGTCTGTGTATCTCTCACACGATCCTTCTGATGAATATGCAAAAATATTAAATTCACATTTCTTTGTGTACTTCCACAGGTGAGGAGTGTCAACGCTGCAGTCAAGATGAGTTTTCATCTCCACAGAGGGATAAGTGTTTGAACAAAACTGTTGAATTCCTACATTGGGAAGATCCCTTTGTTATTATTTTGAGTTGCTTGGGAGTCTTTGGGATATTTGTTATATTTGTGTTTGCTATGTTGTTTACAATGTATCATAGCACTCCCATTGTGAAGGCTGTTGGAGGCTACTTGTGTTTCTTGGAGCTTTTTTCCTTGCTGGCCTGCTTCTGCGTTATGTTTACCTTCACAGGAGAGCCCACTAGGGTTAGCTGCATGGTAGGCCTGCCTGTTTTTGGCCTAGCCCTGTCCCTCTGCATGGCCTGCATTCTGGCCAACCTCTTCCAAATCTTAGTGGGCTTCAACTTTGATCTGAAGATAGGGTCCTGGAAGAAGAAGCTCAATCGGCCGCTGGCTGTGGTGACCATTGTCTTTGGGGTCCAGTTGGCCGTTTGTGTATCATGGCTGTACTTTAATCCCCCGTTTCCTGATAAAGAGACACTAAACAATGCCATCGTGTTGAAGTGTGACAAAGGCTCCGACAAGTTCTTTATAGCCATGTTAGGCTACAATGGTTTCTTGGCCGTTAGCTGTTTGCTGTTTGCATTCAAAGGTAAGCAGTTGCCAGATCTGTATAAAAATGCACGTTTAATCACCACCAGTATGATGCTGTTTTTAATCATTTGGATCCTTTTAATCCCAATTTATATCAGTTTGATTGGGAAGTACAAACGTGCCATTGAAGGTGCAGCCATTCTAATTTCTAGCTACAGCATCCTCTGCTGTCACTTGGCCCCAAAGTGTTACATCATGGTGTTCAGGAAAGAGATTAATAATCAGCACGCCATCACCGAGTACATCAGGAAGCATTATGAGCAGAACAACATGGCTGTGATCAAATCCTGACCTCGCATGTACATTTATAAATGCTGTGCGGGTGATGGGTTACAATTAGCCGCACAAAAATCTCTCTTCCTTTGCTGAATTCACAGCCACTGGTGTTTGGCCAGTTTCTCTCTGGCTCAACGGCACAGACTTAGATAAGTGCTTAAGTGTGAGAGGCTGTTTAAAGGACATATTTCGAAACATAATCTCAAAAAGAGATTTATTCATTCTAGCACACCGCTTTATTGCCAACATATCTGTCCTGCTTTATTGTTAGAATGTATCTTTACTGGTTGGGGTTTTACTTTATTTTATTTCTGTATGATCTTGATTTAGTTACCTCAGTGCTGAAATGTTCCAATGCTGGTTCAACCATGTAAAGCACTTAACTTTGTTTTTGAAAAGCGCTGTATAGATTAAGTTTATTATTACATTTATACATTATTTTATATTTTTATTATTACAAGAAGTGGTTCATGGGAGGAATGGATGGCTGGCTGCTGTTGGCAGTTGTGATATCAGCCTTCTGTGTGTATGAGTGTATTTCCCAGAATGAATATCATCACACACTGTATGTACACTAGGCTACTTGTGTCTCGCCATACGCACGACATTTACTGAACCTTTTTTCTCGTATACAATCCTTAGAAGTTCTAAAGCTTGTGTCATTGCATTTGTTATCTTTACTGCTGTTATTACCACTGCTGATAAATCATGAGTTGTTTTCAAAAGATGTTAATATAAGATCATCTTGAATTTTCGAACTGCCATTGTATATACAGGATAAAAGATGGGGAAACTGCGAAAGACACCTTTTACTTTTTGTTTTATGTCATGTCCCTGACCTTTATTGTGTATCAGTTTTATGTGCGTCTTTCAGATATGAGTCAGACACACTGCTTAACTGACACCTGCAATTACTGTTTTGCTTTTCACTTCATTTTGCGTAAATATAATTTGACAGATGTTTCACCATGAAGGGCTATATACTGTCAATGAATAAATGTTGCTTTTCTGTGTGAATACTGCAGTCCTGCTCTTCCTGTGTACCTTGAACATTTGGTCCATGGCATGTTCTCTGTATAAACAATTAATCTGCTCCACAGTGGAAAACAAACAGAGACAAACACATCAATTTAACCTGGGGTTTGAAGATAAATGTATACAGCGTGAACATTTCACTAAACATTACCAGACAAATACAACAGCAGAAGTAGGTGTAGTGAATACATCAGTAAACATATGATTACACTACATTTACTCTGAAGGTTAACTGATGGTAACAGTTTTAATAGAAACTTAGTCTCTGGAACAAAGTTTATCAGTTATCTTGAAGATTGAGCATGTTATATAATCCAGTAGTTGCGTCGTGTAGAATCTTTAAAGGTCAGGTAACACTAGAGGGATGATTTACATTGTGTGTAGCGACGTTATTTTAAACCACATTTGGTGCATGAGTGCTATTTGAGTAAAAGGGTGTATTTCAGGGTTGATTCTAAGCTGACATGCAAAATCAATTACATTGCGTGTGAAGCAGTTTTGAGTAGAAGGCAGATAACTGTGAAAAGAAAGAACATTTATTTATTTCAGCTATTTGATTAATCCAGAGATTAATTTTCACCATTAATCAATTAGTTTAGTCTATAAAATGTCAAAAAATGTGGAAAAAAACATCACAATTTCCCAAAACACAAAGACCCTTGATTTACAATTACTAAAAGCAGCAAACCCTTTCATTAAAGAAGCAGGAGCAAGCTAATGTTTGACATTTTTGGTTAAAAAATGACTAATAGAATTACTTGATTATCAAAATAGTTGGCAACTAATTTCTTTGGATCAACTAATCATTGCAGCTGTTATTGAAAACTCTGCAAATGCAAAGCTGAGAATGTCACACTGGTTTAAAACAGTTCCCTCTGCAACCACTAGATGGGACTCTTGCAACAACCTGTGAATAGCTTTCTGCGTACCAATACTGCCTATACAAGTCCTTCAAAGCTTTTTGTACATATGGGGTATTAAAAAACACACAACATCCATAATTCGGCTCTGCACCTAATGTTTTATTTATTAAAAAAATACAAAACTTCAAAAAGTTTCCATAGGAAAGCATTATGATTTTGCAGTCCCGTCTCTTTCGTATCCATTTCAAAGTATGGTTAAACACGGCTTCTTGTCACGAACAGACTTCTTGCCTTCTACAAGTTACAAAAAAAGATAAAATAAAATAAGGAGGAGAAGAGGAGAGGTGCAGTGTGCTTCTTGAGTCCCTGTGTTTTAAGTGTTAATCTTGAAGATGCGTTTCTGTAGTGTCTGGTGACCCAGACAAATACAAGGACGACATGCTTGACGTGGGTAGCTGAAATGTCTGTCTAGTGTATGTATCTATATTGGTGTCTGACAAGTGGGTTCATATGCTGCAGCCATATTAGCACTGTGTGGTGTTTTGATATGCAGGATTTGATGTATGTATTTCCTTTGAGGTTTTTTGAACCCAGGGTGCAAATGGATGGTGATTGTTGAGATGTTACCAGCCACTCAATAGATTACCATCGTTTTTTGGCTGGTGAGTGAAACCAACCTACCAGCCACTTGCACTTGCCTGGTGGTAATTGTGTGCCGTGTTTGTAGCCATGCATATTCCATTTAGGATGTGAAGACCAGCAGAGATGCATTTATGGAACACAAAGACACTGAATATAGCTAGATTATGAATGAAAAAAAAAACATAATCTTTAGGACTAACACTTGGCAGGTTCTGTATAGAAGTGGAGATCATGGAAAATATAAATACATAGCAGCCATTTTTGAGGAATTAAATCACCCTTCCAACCACCTCTTTGCGAGTTACTAGCTAGGGATGTGACTTCAGCTGTTAACAGGGCTTTAATGATCAGCAATTTAATAAACCAACCGTCTAGATTTTGCAGGTCAGTTAGCACTGGTGATTGCTTAAGATGGAAGCAATCTTCTACTATACTTTTATATTATAAAATGAATAGCACTGGAAACCCTTCACCTCCTGGGACTGCTGCTACAGTTTCAGATTCTGTGAATCCAGAGGTGATGGGAAACCTTCAATAAAAGCAGTTTTGTGATTTCTTTTTCAAGCAACAAGTTCCTCTCCCTACACTACTCCAGTTCAGTAAATAGGTTCATCATCAACTACAGTCAGTTCCCCCAAATTAGGACAGGAAGACTGCAGAAACAAGTTCAAGTACAGAGTTGCCCTGTCACACTGCCTGGAACACACAGAGACACTCAGAGTGTGATTCAGCCTCATTTCATTGAGGGTTGATCCCCAGCTTCCATACAGAACGCAGAAATTTGCACAAAATATCCCTCTCATTCTCCTGTCAAGTAACTGGCCTTGAAATTTCACCGGATCTGGGGAGAAGAAAAAAAACAAATACAAAGGATGCGAGAACACTGCTGTGATGTACAGTACAAGTTTAAACCACATTGGCCTGGCAGGCCTTCGTGGGCATCTCCAAGCTGCTCTCTCGGCCACAGCAGGCTGGCACTTCAAACAGGCAAGACTCCTCCACAGGAGCTGGCATGCCCTGGGAACAGATCTGCTGCACTTGTTGCCTGTAGAAAACAATGGCGATAAAAGTTAAGATTGTCTAGGAACACAAACTTTCATGATCATACACCAGAAAGTCCATCCATTACAGACGACCACCTTCAGATTCTGTGGCATCTACTCACCAGGCAGGGCGGGACATGACATAGTAGATGTCAGGTCTCTGGAATCCATTAAAGGTGGAGGAGGCGGCCACGGTGTAGGCACCCATGTTCTCAAAGACAAGCCAGTCGCCCACCTGCAGGTCAGGCAGGAAACACTGCTCAACAATGCGATCGAGGCCGTCACATGTTGGGCCCCAAATACTGCAGGGGTACATGACCTCATCTGGCTTTGGCTTCTATGAGTAATAAGAGGTGGAGAAACAAACACGCAGAAGAGTTAACCATTTGTTTCACCATTCACTGAACTGTTTATATGATGAGATACTGGTTGCCATTTCAACCCTTGAACTTGACTTACCTTGTGCAGTGTTGGCAAACAGTGAGCATGGTCATAGAGAATACAGTTGAAGGATCCGTACACTCCATCGTTGACATAGTACATCAGAGTCCTATCATTGGTCCCTTCGTCTTCCTCTGTGAAGGAAGCATAAATCATTTTACTACTGAGAAATGTTACAAATCTAATTGCAGAATAAATTCTTTTTCTGAATCAGTCTCTTTAAAATCAAGGCAGTTACCGTCAGAGGCTGACTCGTCATCCATGATGACCTTCTTGGCAATGACGTTGACAACCAGTGTGTAAGCAGACGCCACATAAAAGCGCCCTGGCTCAGCAATGACCCTAATACCAGTGTCTGCAGGGAAATACTTGTCCAGGGCTGGGGTGATTACTGCTGTGATCTAGCAAAGAAGCAAAGGAAGGAAGTATCCACAGGTAAATATCAGACTGTAATAAAACTGTTTTTCTAAAATAAAATAATATTTAGCCTATAAAATGCCACAAAAAAATAAAACATACCTCTTCAAACTGGAGTACAGAATCATCTGAACCAGGGAAACCACCTCCAATATCCAACAGGTCCATGTTGAAGCCCAGCTCATCCTAGAGGTCACAAAATTGTGTTAAGTAAGTTTTCTAGGTAAAAATCTACATATCAGTTGCATATGCAATTCTATAACAACTCACCCCCATATCAAAGACACAGCGGGCATCAGCGATAGCCTGGGCGTAGGTCTCGGGGTCAGTGCAGCCACTGCCAACATGGAAGCTGACACCGATTACATCCAGCCCCAGTTCTTTAGCCCGCTCCAGAAGTCCTCGACAAGCTTTGAGTGGAGCCCCAAACTTCACACTGAGGCGGCACACTGCCTTTGAGTCATCTGTGGCGATACGCAGCACCAGCCTGAGCACAGAGCAGAAAAAGAGTTAGTGAAGGGACATACATGGAGAGAAGGCAGATAAAGAAAATTCCACCACAGCTTTCATATTAAGGAATTTAATGTCTCACTTGGCATTGTCATGACAGCGGGCCACTTTCATGAGTTCCACCTCACTATCAAAGGTCATCATCTGGACCCCATGGGCAGATGCATACTTGATCTGAGAAACTTGCTTGCAGGGGTTGGCATAGATGATTCTGCTTGGATCCACTCCCAGAGACTGAACCAGCTGAATCTCCATCTAGAGGGGGACAAAGCCAACATTTAAAAACACGAGCTGCCAATGCAATTTCATCTAATCATCAAGAGAGCTTTGTATTGTGTCATTCTGAGACCATCTAGTGCCATGGAAATTCCCCAACACCCACCTTGCTTGCACAGTCAAAGCCAGTTCCCAGGGATGCCAGTGTCATAACTACAGCCCGGCTGTCATTGCATTTGACAGCATAGAAAGGAGTGACGCGAGGCAGGGCTCTTGCCCAGCGCAGCTGTTTCTTCAGCACATCCCCCAAGTCACAGACATAGAAGGCATCCCTGTCATCCTGTAATAATATGATGGAAAAAGGTTATATGTGTTTAACAAAAGCAGCTCTGTAACAAAGACTTTTGCAAATAACACTAATATGACTGACAACGCTGTAGTGTAGGATTTCAATTAAATAGCTTGCATCTCAGTTGCATCCTATTGACATTCATCACATAACAAATGGGGCCTTCTGTGTATTCCCTAAACAATGTCAGCACAGGATACTTACCGTCATGGATGACTCATTTATCTTCTGCTCAACAATGTCTCTGGCAGAGAAACCCTCCTCCAGGAAAGAGAATTCAAACTCAGTGGGAGTGGCAGTGTTCATGGTCACAAAACGTCCTTTTGATTGGTTGCTAGTAAACTGGAAGAGGGAGGGGAAGACATATTGAGATTGCATTCAGCTTTGAGAACACAGTGTCTTTTGTATCCTTGATTACTAAAGTCTATTTTATTCCCCAATCATGGGAAAGACTTGAACAGTGCAAGTGTGAGCAATTCTCAGAGCAGGATACTTGACTGAATTACAATTTTGTTACAGTATTATCTCTATAAGATGACAATGCAGAATTGAATCAAGCTGCAAACAGAAAGTGGGACACTTACTTGAATATGAAAGAGATGGAATTTAGTGTTGCTGTTACTCAGGTGCAGAGAAGCCAAGGTGGTTCACCAGTGAAATTGAATCCCTTCAAATAAGACTCAATGCCAGGGCCTGCTGAGTAGCCAGTGTGTCTTCTCCTAGAGTGAGTATTCTGTAAAGAGTAGTTAACAGTATTTAACAAAAACTGGATTCTCAAGGGGAAAGGATGAGTCAGGAAAGTCACAGAACTATCTAGGACTCAACTTTAGTGGGTTTAAAGCTCAAGAATAAATTCAATACAAATGTGTGTCTGAATTTCTATAAATTAATAGTATTTTTCTAAATTGAACAAAAACATTATTCTATTAAACCCATTATGATCGACTTGAAACTGACAAGACTGCGCAAGACATACGCATCTAGTCTCGTCTTAATAGCGCTCCATTTTATTACTATGGCATGACAACTTGACACCATTTGCACAAAAAAAGTCACTGAAACTACCAAGTGTTTAAGGCCCGCCCACACCACATTTAATCCAATTACAAAGAAGACCCGCCTTTGACGCAAATAACAGCATCAAAATGAACCAATCAGTGACTAACAAGTGACGCAAGCACGAAAATGCCGGTTCCGTTAGAGCTCTTCATGCCATGAGGCAATTTAACATGTACGTTAACGTGGTTTATTCTACTTTACACCGGCAATTCGAAAATTTGATTAGTGCAATACCACATCACCGAAGTCTATAGCCCGAAAAAAGTGGCCAATACCAGCAAACGTTATGCCGATTTAACGTTAGTAGTTTCAACAGAATGGTCGCTAGCGAACGTTAGATAACGTTAACACACCGGCCACGTAGCGTTAGTAACATTACTGTTAGTTACCGTTAGGTAATAACGCAGAACGATTCCATTTTGAATCAAATTGACGCTATGGTTACGGTAAAATAGGAAGAATACCCTGCCCTACTAAGTTCCTGGTTCATTGTCCGTTTTAAGCCGCCATAACCGAATAAGCCTGCTAGCTAACATTTGCTACCGTCAATTGACAAGCATTTAAGTTAAAGCGTTCTTCTTAGTAATACGAAATCGAAAAGTCTTACCTTAAAAAGCATTTACAAAGAGTTTGTCCATTAGACCCGATGCTAGGATTAAAAAAAACAGCAGTTCCCTTCACAATGAAGTCCGCTGCAGGAGTGCTGGAGTGCCGCCTCTCTTACTGGGCTACGACTGCTGTGGAAGCCGGTAAAGGAGCCCGAGAGTATTTATAGAGAGCGCGTTACTATGGCAACGCAGCCAGCTGAAACCGGCCTCCCATCCACGTATGAACCGGTTTATCCTTGTCACCTCATCCACATGGTGGGAAAGACAGACAGGGACCGCAAGACAACGACCACAGGGAAGATTACAAAAGGTAACACGGCCAGTTCAAACCGGCCTCTGCCAGTTAACGTTAACTAGTTAGCCTCATGCTGTAACATTAGCGTTACTTCTCACATTAAAGTTGTCTCTTTTATCAGGTTTCCTTACCTCACTGAAGAAAATAGATGTAGATTTGATTGGTAGGAACTATTAAACTAATCTTATAATTTATTACATGTTTCAGTCAAGTTTCAAGCCAAGATGCCAAACGATCTCTGGTCCTAAAGTTCTCCAATGTGTTGATGTTTTTCTTTGTCATAACGTTATATCAGTGATTCCCATCCTTTTTCCATCAGAGACCCCCTTTTCATCATCGCCTTATACGACTAACCCCTAACGAAGTGACATCATTTATGGAGTTTATGTAAAACAAGCGATTTGGATGGATTTTGAGCAGAGATTAGTTAATTTAGTCCGGATATTTTTGGGAACTTTTTTTTCCACAAATTGCAATGTGCAAATAGTACAATGGCCAAGTGTCATGGAGAAGAAAACATTGAATTTGTCCGAATTGAAGCCTATTAAAGATTGTATTTTAAGTTTTCTTACACCCCTTAAAAACAAGAAGGCTTTGCAACCCCCCCATAAAGCTTTGGTGACCCCTAGTGAGGGTCCGGACCCCCAGGTTGGGACCCACTGTCATATATGATAATAAATTGAATATATTGGGGGTTTGGACTGACTTCCAGATAAAATAAGCACCAAGTAATGGTATTGGGCATTTTCGTTTTATAGACAAAATGATAAATCTACCTGACGACACGATGATGCAGGACAGGTACAGGGGAACATCAGAACGGGTTCCCCTTGGCCAGCTGTGATGGAAGAAACCTGCACTGGATTTGTGTTAATCCCAGCGATGCCCAGTCACGCTGGCAGACTACAACAGTCTGCTCGCTCTGCCTGACCACACGGTCTCACTCATGTGACCGGTGTTAACCGCAGTCTGCTACTCGGAGTTCTTGACCTGTCTGAGGAGATTAAAGGAGATCACTTAGAGAAGGCAAGGTGTCAACACAAGCACGTATGTCACAACAGCTCTGTAAACATACTATGAATACAGTCGTAAGTTTTGTTGAGAAAGTGGTGCATTGTGCATTTTATAAGAACATACATATGCCACTGTAAGTCATTGGAAATGGTCTGCAGGATTTTTTAGAAAGTCTCTTATGGTGCTTGGAAAATGCCAAGCACCAAATGCCTTTTCACTCAGTCCCCTAAAATTCCTGTCCCCCAGACATTTCCCCCTTTACTGCACAGTCTAATTAGCCCAAAGGTTGCTTTCATAGACATTTGGTTTGCAAGCAGACATTACCAAATGGAAGAAAATGAAGAATTTGGTTAGTGTGACCCAACTGTACATGTGGAAATGTTGCAGGAAACTTTAGGGCTTCATGAAGACCACATATCTGTGGCCTTAACTTAATATCTTTTCCAGGTCTTGAGGCCACAATCAAGATGGCATTCTACTCTCTGCACAACAGGGTTTCCATTAACATTTTCTGCAGGGTTGGTGAATGAAGTCATATTTTCCGAGCAGTTTAATTATCAGAAAGTAAAAAGCACAGCCCTCTTGAAATGGTCAAAAAGGTAAAATGAGATTAAGTGGCAAATTTGTATGATGACATAATCTGCAATTATTTTCATACAGTACATTGCAGCTTCCCTTATAGTCCTGCCCTGTATCTGAACTTGTTCTTGCAGGCTTCACCTCCTCTTAGAACCATGCCTGTCAGGCAGGAAGTGGGCCCACACTCGGGGGCTAATTCATTTTCAACAGATGTTTATCAGCTTCCTCAAAATCACAAGATCACAACACACAGCGTATTACGTAGCGAACCCGGGTTAGATTGTTTCTCTTTGCTCCGGTCATTTCCTTTTGTTTCTGTTTTTGTCTCTCCTCCACCAAGTGTCTGTGCTTCTACCCTCTCCTTCACCCCTCTCCTTCTCCTCCTCTTGTAATGTCTATCTCTCGCTCTGTGTGGACTTTGTGTTATCATTACTGTGGACCATTGTGGCCTAACCCCCACATTTACAAGGCCTCACGAAAGACAAGGATGAGGATTGTTATTGGCCACCCACAAGATACAGTGCAGTGTACGGGCCTTGGTGACTTGTGTGTCACACTGCATCTGGCTTTGTATTTCTCTTCACTTCCCTACTTTTGCACAATGAAATGCCACAGTCAGTTTTTCATCAACTTATGTTCCTGTACTGTCCGGTTCGGTGTGCTGCATAATACGTCTTGTGACAATAAGCAGATGACACACAAGCTTCCCAGACATTTCTCAAGAGAATAAACTGTACTCTTCCTCATTTGTACCAAAATGAAGAAAGCTGGTGCACACTACTCAAGTGAGATCCTGCATACAATGTGTCCCAACACCAAAGATCAATGGTGATGTCATGAGGTGCAAATTTATAATCTCTTTTTTTTGCACAACAGTAGTTAGCTGCCTCAGTGTCTGCTCTGTATCTCTGTTGCATTGAGTTAGAGAATTAGTTAAAGTCCCCCTCCACTCAAAATCTCCCTACAGTGTGCTGTTTGAATGCTGTCTGCAGAGTTTGACACTAGAAGGAGGTTTTCACATTTATCTGCTGAAAGTGGAACTCAGTCCTGGTCCAGTATGCAACTTGTACAGTGTGATGTAGGAAAACTTTATGAACAACATTTGTATATGCAGAGATTCTGGAAGTGTTAATGAGCTGGAGGGGGTAGATGTGTTTTTAAGAACTTTCATGTGGAAATTATACTTTGTTTTGCAGAAAGAAACACATCAGGCACACATTATTGTTCTGACTATTTGCAGACTATTTGTATATTTGTCTGGAGGGGATCTGATGTTTAGTGTACCTAAGCTGAAAAGACTTACCGGGTCATGCCACCAGTGTAGGTATGTGTATTAAGTATTTGTATATACTGAAGATAATTTACTTTGTATGAAATTCTGTGAGCATGTATGTATAATATGTTATCTGTATGCCATTCAAATAGTTTGTCTGCGTGTTGCACCTGCACTAGAAAATGTGTGAATACACTCAATTCTGTTCCATACTGAATGAATTGGTATATATGATCAAGGAGAATTCATCCGGTCTACTTGAACAGCATAAAACATTCGCGTTGAGAAGGAAAAACTGTTTGGGAGATTCTGGGTGTTCACAAAAACGACATGGAACCCTCCAATGATACCTATGATAAATAGGCATGTCACAACTGTGTATTGTGTGTACGTGTATATCACAATACCACACGGCGCCTTAGCAATCATTTTTTAATTATACATATTTAATACATAAAATCTACCTGCAGTCCTTCCTCACAGGGTGCATGACTTTGAGTTCAGAGCTGTTGACTTTTCACTTCATTTGAATACTTTTTAGAACAAATTTGAAGAATTAAAATAATTCTATGTAGATGAATTAGATTTTCTTATTTTCCTATTCCATTACTGCTGGTCCCCCAGGTTGGGAACCGCCGGTTTAGATCACTAAATGTGACATTCTGAAGATTTCTTTTGTTCAAACATATTTTAAATGTTTCCATTTATTGAGCTATGACCATCGTTCCATAGGCTTCTATTAATTATCATATGACAGTAAATACTGCCAGTGAAAGGTGCCTTCTATCATAATAACTGTGGCTTCACATATATTCCTATTCATAAACCTGTTACTAACAGAAGCAGCTGATTCATTCATTTAAACTGACTCATTCATTCAAATTGCTACGTTGCTATGAGTCAGAGGTCAAGGATTGGCTGTGTTAACAGGCAGAACCTATGTAGGCTTAACCTCAATATACTTGAGTATCAAGTCCCAGACAGCGACTTATGAGACCGGAAGTCTTAATGTTTGTCTGCATGGCTCTGGTCTGAGCGGATGGTACGTGTGGTGGTTCTTTACTCTCCTGACTCTGATCCATTTGTCCTTTGAGATTAGACAGAGTGGCTTTGATGGGGCGAGCCCCCAACAGCATGTGACACACAGATAGCTTAATCAACTTAAAGCTCTGGTGACACACTCCACCCAAGACAGCTGGGTAGAGTTCAAAGCATTGCAACACACAGCCACTGAACCGTGACTAGCCAGCCACAGAAAGAAAGTGCATTGTTTTCAATTGTATCGCAATCCCTGAATTAAGATACAAACCTGATGTGGGTTTTGGCACACCATGGAAAGAGTGGAGGTAAATGTCAAGAACTGTATTTTCATAAAATACACAGACAATGGGAGGCTTGTAATTTAGGTCATGCGTAGTGTCTGGCATGTCACCGCAATACCTTAAAAAAAGTAAATTGAAGGTTTGGTCTCATGAGTCTCCGCTGAATGAGCTCATCCATAGTCATTTCATTCTCTAGGCGGACACAGCCGCTGCCTCCTTGACATCTTGTCCAGGTATTTGTAATTATACCATTTTTATTGCACAGTTCTGTAATCTTTAAACAGTTCACAGCCTTCCTTCAGTCGAGCCGAGGTATCTTTTACTGAACAGTGGCCACAATTGGTAATTATGGGATAATGATGCTAAATGCTAAAACATATTCTACAGTAGCTCGAGTTGAAAAGAAATGGCTAAATGGCTCAGTACCTTCATTTACACAGCAATACGTAGTTTACTGGCAGGGGAGTGTCCAGACTTTTTTGACTGGGCTGGCACTGGCTTATGCAGGGATGGCATAAAGTCTGTGTCTTCACTTTCCATCATTCCCAGTTTATGCAATTCCATACTGTAACAGGCACACAGAAATATTCAAATACACCAGGTGAAAACAACACATATATACCACATGTCTGCAGTGAGGAGACCCGTGGGTACCATAGAACCCATTCTATCTTGAGGTCAGAGGGGTCCCTTTTTTAAAATGGCCTTCCCAGTTTTCTATCGCCAAAATTCATCTTAACGCTGAAGCATTGTTTAGCCCCATTCCCAACATGCTAGCGTGACATGGTTGATAAGAATGTATGCGTTAGGTTAGGTCCTCTAGTTACATATGATACCAGTATCTTCATTCTGGCTTTAATACGAAGCCTGCTACAGCCTCTGAGTGGAAGAGGTAAAGGATAATGGGGACAAATGCTATTATATTAGTATGTTTGCATTTAGCTCCTCACAGAGTGTAAACCACAGATCCATGTAAAGCATCCCAGTGGCATGTTACCTGATGTTAGGGACATAATGTCCGTTATTGTCTGGAAGATCAAACTGTGTATGATCTCAATTGATTTAGCTGTGTAAACAGCGTTTCTGAAATGACTTTAACTCCATTGGGTGGTTTTAATATCACCCCATGAAGACAAATATGTGACATGCTTATTTTTAAAATGTCATGTTGATAATGTTGAGATACTGTGCAGCTCCAGTGTGCCTTGTATCATTGTGTGTATTGAATGTGAAGGTCAGAATAACACCAAACTTCCAACATCCTTGCAATGTTGAGGGTACAGGCCCTTGTTCTTATCAGGCTGCTTTAACAAAGTCAAAGAGCAGACTAATAGAATATTAACCCCAAAACCGATTTTCACTGTACATGCATGGCTGTTATACAGATACAGTGTCTGTCAACCTGTCTGCCCACTCGCTGTGTATCAGGAAGATCTAACATCTATTCGGTTTTGGTATCCTTCAGTTTTTTTATTTTCTGGTGGAGCGCCTGCTGACAAATCTGGGTCACATCTTCAGCAACCTGTGTGAGCTCCCTGTGACAGTGCCCTAAATGCATCATTCATTATTTCTCTTTATAGGTACGCCTGTGTGTCAGACAGACAGGAAGAGACTGTGAGAAAGAGTCAGTGTGAATACAAATCACTGCACACATCAAGGTAACTTCAAGAGGAATATTTCAGTGGTTAAACCTCAAAAATTATATCCCTGGATATAAAAAAAAAGTTCAAATGTAATGTCATTAGCATATCTAATTATCTGAATACTACATTTAATTTTTAAAAAATGATTTAAAGTAAGCCTAATTACAGTCTAAATGATATCAAAAGGTTGTTTTTAGCCTTTGACCGTGCAGCTGCCCCGTTCCCACTTCAGCTCTGTCCCTGGAGTGATGAGAGCAGAGTTGTTTAATCTGGCTCTCTGCTGACTCATCATTTCTTCTTCTTTCAAGGTTGAGTTGCCCAGAGTCGGTTCGCTCGGCAGTGTGGAGACCAAGGCAAAAAAAAAAAAAAAAGTGATCGTATTTTCACTGGAACATCTTTTATGCTTTCCTGGGTTGGCCTGGATCTCTGTGAACAGGCTGCATCAGCACATTTCACTCCTTTGATCCTTTTGGGGAAGAAAGGCACAGACTGAAGAGAGATTCACATTTGAGGTGTTGTGCTTCTACCATTATCACATTATATTGGCTCTGTGGAATTTAGGATGAAAGGAGTAGAAGCAAAAGAGCTAACCGTTGCACATCTTAGACCACCTACAGAGGCACCTGAAGCAAGCTGGCATGCATCTGTAATAAAATTAAAAGTGTAAGTGTAACCAGATAACCTAATCAAGGGCTTAATGACCTCTGAGTGGGTGCTGTTTTTAGAGATGAGCAGCTTTGTATTTGATGCTGCGAAGCCTCCCTGGTCAGTGTACTTTGTGGCCAGCAAACAGCTCGCTTCCCGACTTTAGTTTTCTCATTTCCAAACTAAATCCGTCTATAAATAGTAAATGTATTTGATCCCTACAAGAGAAAACATGCCTTGAAAATATCCACGAGACAGAAATCTCAAACCATGGTTAACACTGCAGATCTACGTAATGGTTTGGCTTACGAGGTACAGTATCAAATAGCACTGCCTCGCTGTGGAAATGCAGTTTCCTTGTGCTTCGTGCCAGCTTTGGTTGACCCACTTCCTGTGGCCTGATTGCCAGTTGTCATGGTGAAGTGAAAGCATTGTGAAAGGAAAAGGGGGCGATTTGCCTGGAACCCAGAATACAGAACCATACCAGATGACATTTTGCTAAATGATGTTTATTTGTTCTGCGGTGAGAGAGCGCCGCCGGTGTCCCAACACAAAGAAGAGAAGCAGGCTGGAGCTTTGTCTTCTGGCCTCAGTAACCTACTCTCAACTGATGGTAATCTCTCAACAGAAACCGGGATAAAAAGCTTCCTGCTCATCCTCGAAAGGCTTTGTATTGACAGATTTCTGTTATAAAGTATGATAAACCCTGACCCTGATCTATTTAACTGTATACTAAGTGAAAGGACAATAAAGGCCATGTGACTTTAAACTTAAAAGGTATTAGTTCCACATTTTTGGCGCTGTGGCTGGGAGTTGAGAAGACTGATACCACTCTAATGGCTGTACAGAAAATATAATAGCCTTTTACCTACACACTACACACACACAGGGTTTTGATGTTTTTGTATTTTTTAAAATAGTGATGAAATAATGAAATATTAATACAATTCCAAAAATAGCCTGGGAATCTTCATATCTAATGTCAAATTATGTGGAAAGTCTGTAACTGTTAATGATCATAAAACTACAGTTTATTTAATAACAAAAATCTAATAAAAGGACCCTTCTGTAAATTTAAGTCTGATTATTTGAGTTATCGCAGTGTTTGTCTGTATTTATAGGTCATTTCGTTGTTTTTACGCATGTAAATATCTTGAATATTAAAAAGCCCATTAATTAATAAGATTTTATACCTTTTTAACCTGAAAACACACATTTTCTTTTCGCCCCAACTGCCAGAATATTATATTATTATGACAATTTTTGACTTAGCATGAAGACAGAAACAGCTTGCCTGGCTCGGTCCAAATGTAAATTTGCCCAACAACACCTCTAAAGCTCATTAATAAAACACTGTATCTCCAGGAAGATACAGGTCCTGGTTAAGAAATACAGCAGCCTGGCACATAAAATGGCGTTTTGTCATTTTTACGTTCAAGTTTTTGAGGGCAGATGGGTCATGGTGAAAACACATGGTGACATCAGATGAGTTCAAATGAGCCTGGGGGCCAGTGTTGGCATGCTGAGAGCTTAAATGCACCTCCCTCGCATTTGAAATGGGCCAATGCTGGAGCAGAGGGGGTTCACACCATCGGCACGTTGGGGGATGGGAAGGACACCCAGGCAGTCCTTCCATTTCCAAGAACTGCTGTTGGCGGGGGAATGAAAAAAAAAAAAAACTTTCCTCATTCACCATTTTTCTCCTCCCCTCCTCTTACTTCTGACGTAAGTCATGAAAGAGGAAGCACGCTCGACTTGCACACTTTGAGCCATTAGGAGGAAATGGTATATTAAGATTTTCCGCAATAAAAACAATATAGACAAACAGGTGTTGTACCAAATATAATATATAGTACAAGTGTTGTTAATCCAGTGTTTGATTAACAATATATAGTAATAACAAGTAGCATTAAAAAATACTTTTTTTTTTTTTTTTTTACACACACCCCTTCATTATCTGAAATAGCAGGCTCCACCGAGGAGTGAGAAAAAGTATGCAGTCAAGGTATTTTTGGATAATGGCATAAACATTATATGCACACAGACAGCGACATAGGTAATCTTTTTTAATGTGCTCTGAATTTGCAGAGAGCAGCTAAACATGGCCCAGACCACCCAGGAATAGGGGGGCAGGCTTGTCTGTTCATCAAGTCAGTCTCTGCTGCTTGTGCAGAATGTCTCCAGAGCTTCACACGCGCATTCTTCAGCCCTCGCAGATATCTGCCAGAGATGAGTTCATGGAAGACGTTGCAAAATTTTGATGCGAGCCTGAGGACTGTGCCGGAAATGCCTCTGTTGTCCATCCAGGACAAAGACCCTGGGTGAGGATGCCCCCCCTCGCTCAGTACCGGCCTCTCCCTCCTCTCCCTCCTCTCCCTCCTCCTCCTCTCCCTCCTCCTCCTCCTCCTCCCTCCTCCTCCTCCTCTCCCTCTCCCTCCTCCTCCTCCTCCTCCTCCGCCCCTGCCCCTGCCGCGGCCCCAGCCTCTCCCGCGGCCGCTGCTCAGGTGTCCGGCCGAGCGCCTCAGCTTCTTCCTCTCCTCGTGGTGTTCCCACTCGGCCTGCTGCTGCTTCTTCTGCTGCTCCGACTGCAAATGATTACAGAATAACGTGTTAAACAGTGTTCAGCTGTGTGTTTCCACCTGTACATTCAGGGAGTAAAGTGAGTTTACATTTGGGGAAAAAGCAAGCAGTATCAACCCTTACTCACTTCAGCTTCTAAAGGTTTTTTCTTATATTTTCATGTTGAGTGTTTCAGGGTATTACCTGTCTGTAAATCTGTAAACACATCACTCAATAGAGACCGAAGACTTTCTCCAAGCTTTCGTTGCTAAAACTGGGTGCAATTAATTCGAGAAGGAAACCTGCACTCCAGACACTACAGGGCAGCCCGTAGGGTGATGACATGCAGAAGTCGTGTTGTTGCCCGGGACATTCATATTTAACGTGTTATAAAGCTTTCTCCATGTTACACAGTGACTTGCTATATTTCCAGTTTGTTTCACTACAGAGGAGTGTCCCTGAAGTGCCGTACGTTTGCTAGTGGCCATTTTTTTTCTCAAGTGTGAGACTGTATGAAGTTAAACCATCTTCAGACCACCTTGGTGCATCCTCACCAGCATGGACAATTGGCTGCACTTGGCTGTTAGTTTACAGTGTTTTGGGTTTTATATTTGTACTTCATTGCTGAGGCAGAGGATGGTGCCTCATGTGAACAGTTTACCTTTTTGAGAGTGAAGGTCAGCTGTTTGCTGCCCACTGCAGTGTCGGCCATGTTGCTGGTTCCACAGTGCTCCTCTAGCTTCAGACGGTCCTCCAAAGAAGCCCTGGAAGAACATTCACATTCCTCAGACACATTCAGAAAGTAGTTGGCTCTTAACTTGCACTGTGGTGTAGTTTTCTATTATTATTATAATTTTAATAAATATTCTTATCTATTTAAGTTTTTCAATCTGTTTGAAACAAAGTTTCTTCCATAACTGGAGAGGTCAGGTTATGCCTCCTCATGAACAGCTGCAAACCCTAAAGCAATCTTAATAATAATCTGGGTTTCAAAGACAGTTGCACACTATAAGCCAGCACTCCTCCAACACTTCTGTTAAATGTATTTCCAAAGACATACTTCTGCAGTCTCTGCTTGCGGGCCATGTCGTTAAAACTTCTGAACTCCTCCCCGGCCTTGATCTGATAAAACTGAGGCTGACTTGTCTTCTTGCTGTTTGAGGTTCTCTCTTCTCCGTTCTGTTCCCTCTCCAGCAGGACGGTGTTGCGGTCTGCTTCCTTCCTGTCATGCTTCCGGCGGTCTCGGCCCTCCTGCCACAGCAACCTCCGCTGCTCCCTCACCTCCTCCACCCAACTCTTGTCGTCGTCCGAGCTATCCTCCTCGGAGCTGGCTCGCCCCTCGGGTTCTTCCTCGTCTTCAGCCGCCTGGACAGAGATTTCACAAAGCTTATTGAGAGTTATTGTTGTGATATTCTTTCTTGGCACTTAGGACAGGCCTAATGAGTCATCCTAAATGATGTCTAGAAAATACAGTACGTGCGAACACAGCTCGTTCGCAGAATCCTGTGAACAAGATGAACAAAAGAAACAGATGACTGTCTGGAGGAATTTTGAAACGCTGCAAGCTGAAATCACACGTAATACAGTTTTTCCAATACAAGAACAGAATGTGGAAAGCCACTATTTAGTTATGCTACTCCCTTTGATTCAAACCAATGCCTCCCATTTGTTTTCCTTTTCAAATGGGAGCAGCTCAAGACCAATGTCCTTCACTCACATACTTACATTTCTAAACGCCTGGAGACTGTAAATGCTTCCGTACCTGAGGAGGAAATGGGACTAACAGATCTTTTGAGCATTACCTGTTGGGAAGCAGCGGCCTGCTGAGCCAGTAGACGCAACTTCTTCTTCCTCTTTTGTCCGACCTTGGAGACGATGGGGTTGAGGAGGCGGAACTCTTCGCTCTGCTCGTCCACCTGGTATTCTGGGTTTTCGAACATGACCTTGAAGCGGTCGTCTCCCAGGATGCTGGGGAGAGCCTGCCATTTCGAAAAGTTGAGAAAGGGGAAATGATCAGGGTGATGGTTTTGTAGAGCATACTGATTCTCAGTTTGGTTTTAGACTTTTTCTCTTGCTAACTGATGCTGGGATGGTGAATACATCCAGCTAAAGAGGTACAGAGAGAAACTTTAAACCTTTATTTCAATAATTTTCAACTGAGTACCATTTCATAATGTGCCCAATCTTATGAAGGTCCCAAACAGAACAGAATGCATAACTCATGGCAGATGATGAGTTCTGAGTATCTTCAAAATAAATGAATTCAGAGACCCAATAACAAATGACACACAGTAACCACATAGATTTTGTAATCTCTGTTGTCTTACCTTGCCCTTCTTTTTCCTAGAAGCCAGCTCTGCTTCGTCATCACCCTCCTCCATCAGCTTGAGAGCAAGCTCCTTGTTCACCTTAGGCAGTTTCTGTCTCAGAGCACATTGAACGTTTGGTTACACACACAAACAGGACATATTACTTAATCAGCTTCATTTGAGAAGCAACAAGCAAATTTTCCCTGGCAAGCTTAAAGATGATTTGTTTTAAACATTTGAGAGTGAGACAGGATGTGAAGAAACATTGCATTCAGGCATTGACTTTCTGGTCTTCACAGGCAGTAACCAGGGCAAACCAGTTTGAAATGCACATTTAAATGAAATTCTTGAGGGGAACTGGCCTATGTCAATGTGAGAGAATGTGAAAATTGTATAAGGAAGATAATGATGTGTGTTTTGAACACTGGGTAAGAATCTTGTGATCACTGATTTGCATGATGTTCTCCCTTGTACAAACATAAAAGACATCTCAGGGCCAGAGATTTTAATAGTTCTGCTTTGCAAACTCTGTGAATCCGTAACCACCAAAGATGAAACATTTTCTCAGGATCTCTCACCTTAACCTGCACCCTTTGGGTCCTGGACTCCTCAATCTTCTGCCGGATCTTATCCTTGCGATACTCCTCGTAAGCAAAAGGATTGGCCATGGTTTTGACCTGCGGCCGAACCAAAGAGCAAAACTGTCAAATCTAAACTCACCTCTTTGAGAACAACAACAACAACAACAACACAGCAGGTTTTGTCTGTTATATCATGATCCGTCTGATTTAACAACACAGCAAATTAATTATGCTTACAGGAACATGATATAGCAGTTAGACACCTCACCTTGTGATAAAGCCTGATGTCCATGAAGTAGCCGTGCATGTAGGCTCTCAGGAGAGAGGACCCCACCAGGTGAGACAAACCTGACACAAATAAGGAAAAGTCAGGAATGTGCTCAAGAAATGAACTGAAAAAAACAAATAATAAAATCCAGACATTCACGAGCAATAAAGTGAATTTATCTGAAATGATGGGCAGAAATATAGAGATTGTTGGCCATATTAGCATTGTGTCTATGTGTCAGTCTGTTGGTTCACCACTTTGGACCAGACTGAAATAGATCAACAACTATTGAATGGATGTAATTACATTTGGTACAGACATTTATGATCCCTTCATGATGAATTGTAATGACTTTG